CCTCTCTCTCTCTCTCTCTCTCTCTCTCTCTCTCTGGTGTTGTTGTTTAGGTCTCTCTCTCTGGTAGCTGTGTTGTTGTTTAGGTATCATGCTCATGAGGCCTTGTTATATATTCTTTACAACTTCATTCTATTTGATGGCTTGAACCAGAGAGAAATTATGAGATATGTCACTGAAGATTTCGAACTTTGTTCTCATTTAGAAAATTCTCGATTGAGATAGTCTTTCACGAGAAAGGGGTTGGGAATCAATTTTCAAACCTGAAAAAATACATAAACTTATTGATTGACGATTTGTTTGGAAAAATTAATCGACCAATGACAATGAACGCCTTAAAACAGTTACTTTATTCAAGAGGGTTAATATGTTTGCTATTAACAAAAAGGTTAGATTGGTCCTCTATGTGTAAGATTGCCATTTTTGATACACTTAACTTGTGACAAAATTCTATCCATCCCATCAGTAAAATTTGTGTTCGTTACTTTAAACTAGGTTTGTGTTATTCTAATCTGATTCTAGAACAACCATTTTTGCAGTTGCTGATTCGTTATTAGAGTTGATTTTGCCGAGTGCATCTTGGACATTTCTCTCTGTCTAAAAGTTATTTTTTGTAAAAGGAAGCTTTTCATTAATCGAAATCCTGCCTGCTAGAATATATACTTTTGTCTAACTTCAACTTCCAAATGTGAGATTTACCAAATATACTAAATATAGTAAAGGGACAAAATATATATAATTTGGAAGTTAAAAAAGCAGTAGAATAATAATTGAATTCATATTCAGATACGAAATTAATGACTGCTAGTAGATGAGTTTCTTTGAGAAGCCTATGCATTGAAGTTTCATAGCCCACAAGATTGTCATACTCATAGTTTATTTCCTTTTATTTTTGTTTACGTTTTGCTTCAAAACTTAGTACTTTGATTATTCATGTTATGTGACCTCGATAAAGTATATAAATTATGTATGCATGTTATTCCTTTTAAAAAAATGATGTAACATGGATTTTCTCTATGAAAAGCATAGTTTAGTGGTTCTTGCTTTAAAACTTGTTGATTTTGATAGTTCAAACGCTAATTATTCTTGAAAAGATAGGACGTGCCCTGTCTACTCTTTGTTCTCAGTCCATATAGAGTCACGGTTCCTCTTATTACTTTATTATCAAATGCTCACCTAATGAGTGCTGCCTCATTGATTCCATCTCTTGTTATTCAAAGTATTCGGAGCTTTATGTGGTTAGAATCACCTTTCATATGTATCCCCTAATCTGCAGATTGTTTTAAAAAAACAGTCCGCCCAATGCCTAGGTCTAGGAAGCCCTCCTTGGTCGCTACCCAGGTGGCCTAGGTGCCCAATGCCCAGTCCTGAGCGGGCACTAAGGGCTTGGGCCCTGTTTTGTAAGAAAAGAGGCTCCTAAGATCATTTTAACCCACACATTAGACTTAAAAGAGCATTGGGTGTATTCTAAACCCCAAAATGTACAAAAAATCGAATCTGAGCAAACACCTAGTACCGATTGATTTTGCAAATTTCCTTGAATCGAAAAAAGAATTTGAGGTGTGAAAGCGTCCAAAGATGTACCCTTTGTTATTGGATTTTTTTTAGGGAGCTAGTGAAAGTATTAGAAGATTTTTTCATTGAGTTCTAGCTTGAACGATATCAAAAACATCCAAGAACATAGTATGGGTAAAAAAGTTAGTTTACAATCTATATTTGATCAGATTTGAGATGTCCTCCTTGGGTTCTAATATTTTTTATGATGACGTCACTAATGAGGATGATGAAGGGGAAGAGGAGGTGGGCTAGGTAGCCAATCTCTCAGGGTTCTAAGAGGGGTTTTGGGTCTAAGAGGCCTCATATGAAAGGGCCCATTGATGCTTTTTTTACAACTAACATGAGATTGCAGTTGAGAAAGGGAAGGCAAGGGGAATAACCAAGTGACACTAGAAAATAGATATACAGTGAGGTTATTATATGTTAGGTGGTTTTATCATGCTGACATTTCTTTTAATATTGTACGCTTAAGTAGCTTCCATACAATGTTGGAAGCAATTGGTCAAATTGGGCTAGGGTTGAAAGGCCCAACCCCTTATGAGCTTTCAAAGCCACTATTGAAGAAACAGGTAAAACACTCCAAGCAGTACCTCAAGTCCCATAAGGATAGGTGGGCTCAATTCGGGGTTTCCATAATGACTAAGTCGTGGAGTGATAACAAGAGTATCATGAGCCTATTGGTTAATTGTCCCTTTGGTACAATATTTTTGAGAGTGGTTGATGCTTCTGAAGAAGCTCATGATGCGCATTATATGTTCTCTTTTATTCATAAGGACATTGAGGAGGTTGGAGAGGAGTGTGTAATGCAAGTGGTCACAGATAATGGTGATCGTAATTTAGCTACAGCGCTTTTGCTTCACCAGATGAGGCCTCAAATATTTTGGACACCTTGCGTTGCACATTGCATAGACCTTATGCTTGAGGCTCTTAGTGACTTGTCTAGTGTTAAAGGGGCACTTTCTAATGCCAAGGAGGTCACAATCTTCATATGCAACCACACCATTACCCTTAGTATGATGCGTAAGTTCACAAAAAGGAGCTAGTGAGGCCCGAGGTCACAAGATCTGCTACTACTTACCTGAGTCTTAAAGAGCATATATAGTAGAAGGACCCCATTGAGATCTATGTTCACTTCAAAGGATTGGAGCAGGTGTAGGTGGTCTAAAGATCCCAAAGGAAAGTGGGTCCGTGATATTATTCTTTCTAAGGTTTTTTAGCGTGGAGTAAAGCACTTGCTAGTAGTATTTCTACCCTTGGTCAAGGTCTTGCGCTTGGCTAATTCTGACAAACCCCCCCCCCTCTATGGGCTTTATATATGATGCACTAGAAGGAGTTAAGAAGGAGAGAGCGGAGAAGGTGGGCAATGATGAGGCCCAGTATGGCCCAATTAGATAGCAAGTTTAAGATAAAATATCTGTTGATGAATTCATTTTGTATGAGTATGCTTTGAAGTCGTTTGGGAAAGAAATGGCAGTGAGAAAAGGGACAAACCAAATAGGATCCAGTTAATATATTTATTTGAAAATTTTCCGTTCAAGCTCGTAATGACTAATGTTGTATTTACCGTCTTGGTTTTCATAGCCCAATGTCTTAAGTTCCATTCCTATGTAACCTTGTCAAAAAAAAAAAAGTTGTATTTTAAATTTTCTAATTTTTTTTATGATAATGTTACATTAACTATAGAGCTTGCATCCAAATTACTGCCCAATGGTGGAGCCAACATGGGAATAGTACTCCAAACCTCCAGAAGATGGCTATTCGGGTCTTGAGTTTAACAACTAGCTCTTTTGGTTATGAGCAGATATGGAGATCGTTTGAGATGGTATTTTTAGTTCCATTCTTGTTTACAAGTTCATTTTTCTATTATGGAAGATATAGACATAAAGTACATTAGCACCAATTTAGATGGCTCAAGTAATAGTAGTACTCACACATTTTTCTTATAGGTGTATACAAAGAGAAGAAATAGGCTTGAACAAATGAAGCTCAATGATTTGGTATTTGTTAGAGAGAATCATAGGCTTAAGGAGAAGTTCAATTAGCAAAAAAGGGATCCCATTGCTTCGAAGGATAAGGAGAATGTTACTGAGTGGTTGGATGAAGACCCTAGTATTGAAGAGGTTTTCCATGAGGATGGTTTGACATGGGATATGGTTGAGGAGGCTTTGGATCTAGCTTCTGATTCTAGGTAGGCTACTTGAGCAACAATGGCTACTGGTACTTCACAAAGGGTAAGGGAGATAGAAGAGGAGGAGGTAGATTCAGAAGAAATTGAGGAAGATTAGCAATATGTTGAAGAGGGTGATGATTCTGATGATGATGGCTTATATTCATGTGGAGATGCAAGTTATTATGAAGATTCTGACTAATGACGATTAAAGAAACAAAGATCTCCTTTCTCTTCTTTTGTATCTCATCTTGTCTTTGATATTGCAGCCTCTTGTATTGGACATTTCGATTATTCCTTTTATACTTTTATTGGAGACTTGGAGTGAATGTGACATGTCTATGTGCGTGCAACTCTGTGTTGTGATCATGTGCCACTATGGAGTATGGATTGGAGAGTTGGAGACTAATACACCGTGAGTTGTTTATGTTTTTTCGCCAAATTTTCAATTATTTGAAGTTTTAAACATGTTTCAGCATTCATGCATATATATATTTGCATGGAAAAAATTAGTTGGAATACATATAAATGCAAAAAATACAAAATTAACACAAATATCTGCATATATGTGCGTTTGGACAACATATATCCATATCTCTAAAAACATTTATCCCTGGGCACCTGAGGTTCTTGGCGCCCACCTAGGGGCTGGGCGCTGGTTGCCAGGCCGGCTGCAGTTGCTGCTGCCTGGGGGTTGCCTAGCATTTTTTGAAACGTTGAATTTTCTAACTTTGACATTTCCACTGTTTGTCAAAAAAAAGTTCTTTATTTATTTGCAATGTAATTACCAAGCACTGTCATTCGTTTGTTAGCTATATCTACTATTCATCCATGAGTGCTTATGTTGGTTTTATAAGTTTTTTGGTTTGACCTTATGAAAAAGTCCTCTCTATTTCATTCTGCTCTTTTCTTTTCATTTGCCTTCTTTTTTTGTTCTCACTTTATCTTATTAATTTTTGCTTTGTTTGCCTGGGATTAATCTGCAAAATATAACAACACATTATTGTGAGGATGAAGCTCTATTTCTCCTGTTAAATGATCAGGAGGAGCCATTGAATAGCATGGAGAAAGAGGAAGAGGTGACTAATTACATTCCCGCCCCTATTGGGGTTATGAAGAGGTACTATATTTGTTGACTGTAGATTTATATGAAATGTTTGTGAGGAGGATCTTATCCATGAAAGCAAGCACTTGTATGGATCTGGAGGAATACTTTATTAACAATGCAACTCAATACTTTGGCTTTGCAAGTAATGATTGTTGTTGAAAGTATAGAGTGTAATGAGTGTTGTTCATATTAATCAAAGTGAGAGGACACTATTGTTTTAATTGCTATAAGGAAACCATAGTCCCTAAGGCCGTCACATCCATTGAAATGGACCTACTATCTACTCCAACCCTGTGAGGGCCATGGGACTATGGTTTTCCCATAATCATTGGGACTGTGGTACTTTCCCTTATTTGAGTGAATAAAAGGTCGTTTTCCAACTACCCACCAAGTCAACTCTACTCACCCCTTGCCATGTTTTGTAAATGAAAAACTTGGGCATGCTCAAGTTTATGGGTACATAGAAGTTTCTGTGTTGTTTTATCACCTAAATTCTGAGGTGGTAGTGATGCTGTTTTAACTTGGTGGCGAGCAGGATTTGAACCCAATCACGTGAACCATTGTTTCTCGTTTCCTTCAAAAATTTGATAAACTACCCGAGTTTCTTTGAGTTCTCTGTTCAACTTGGCAAGTCTACTGGGTTTTGACAGGGACTAAACCTGTGAGTAGTGGCAAGGTTTTTGAAAATCTTATGCTTGCGGTTTTTGTTCCATTGCTTGTGTCAGAGATGCCCCACAATTAGTTGCCTTGTTAAAAGAAATGAAGGAAGGATTGGATTCAGTCAGGAGCAAAGTGCAAGCCCTTGCACAAAAGGTCTGAGGAATTTTTCCATAACCCATTCATGATGTGACTTGTAATGAAGACAAAAAAATTGATGTTGTTTTTTACTTCTGTATTTTATCAGGTGAAGGAAAATCAATTTCCAACAGGGGAGGGGATAAGTTATCTTGAAGCAAAGCATCTGCTTCTTCTAAGTTATTGCCAATCAATTGTTTATTATCTTCTTCGGAAGGCAAAAGGCTTATGTATTGAGGGACACCCCGTTGTCTGGAGCCTCGTAGAGATCAGATTATTCCTAGAGAAGGTTTGTCTGCATGTAGTGATATTTGTGGCAAACATATATTATATATAAGTGGACCATGGAAAAATCATAGTCCATAAGAGTCATCCCTATCAATTGATTGAAGATCTGTAATGAAGAGGATACCAGTTGTTTTGCTTATTTATAATGTTGAGAATACCTGCTGTTGGGATGCTGTCGGGATAATACTCTTTTCTGGTGGATCCCATTCTCTTTCCACTGTCGTACATCACTTTCATGGATGGTGATGACTCAGTCAAATACTGTTTTCTGTGGTCCCTTTGATCGTAGTGTACTATTCTAAAGATTTTACGTTTCATTTACCTATGTGAATGTTATTTGACTTTCCAAGGGTTGGACTTTCAAAATACATATTTCTGGATTTTGATATCGGTTTCTCTGACCTTCTTATAATACAGATCCGTCCAATTGATAAGAAACTTCATTACCAAATTGAGAAGCTGACAAGATCAGCTAATGACGCATCAACAAAACTGGCTTCTAATGGGAACGATAACGATGCCTCTGTGGACAACAAAGATCTTTTGAAATATAGGCCAAATCCAGACCTGCTTGTGGATAAATTAGATCAGACTTCCCAGGTGATTGGAATCATGAGCTTTTGTTCTGTCGTCGGGTTTTCTTATCAATCAAGGAAATACATAACCATTGTTTAAGTTTCAAAGTTTTCTTAATGGTCAGAAATCTGAAGGTATTCTCATGGATTTTTTTTTAAATGTTCTTTCTCATGGAAGTTCAGGGTCGTGAAGGTGTGTACCGTCCGCCCATGTTTGCGCCTACTTCTATGGATGAGGAGAAAAGCTCAAAACAGAAAAGATTGGAGTCAAGAAAAGGGAAGGAAGCGCTTAGGCAAGCTAAAAATAGTGGTTTTGTTAAAGACCTAATTGACGACTTGGAAGGACGACCTGAAGAGGTAGATCTTTTGTGTGTTTCTAAACCATGTGGGTTTACTTCTTTTTCATTGTTTTGATGATAGAGAATATATTGTAATCCAAAGGACTATGAGAGACCATTGTCCATTGGTTCATGTCCTGTTCATGTGGGTCCCACCCTTCTTCAATCATTGTCCATGCTGGCAATTGATGATTCTGTTGAATGATACCATACTTTCTCTTTGATGAAGATAATATTAATTATGTTGTGTAACTTCAACTTGTTGACAGATTCGAGAAATGGTTGGGCACGAAAGCAAGGATCTTACTAGGATGCGGGCAAGGTTTGAAGAGCGTGCAAGAGTAGAGGAAGAACTCTTCACCCGTGTTCCAATATCAAAGATGGAGAGAAAGAAAATCAAACGCCTTGAACGGTCAAGAAACGGGTATCAGGGGATTTATAATGCTTTAATGTTATGGTCATTCATATTGACATTTACATTTGATACACATCTTTCCTGTATAAATATTGTTTTGTGACATTATTGCATGACAGGCTACTTGGTTTGACGGATGACTTCTATGGTGACATTGCTGGTTTGGTAGCAACCGAAGAGAGTGGCAGGAGTCGTCCTTCTGACCATTCAAATTCCATGAAGGAAGAAAGGAAGTTTAAGAAACGTAATGGCAGGAGTCGTCCTTTGGACCATACAAATTCTGGGAAGGAAGAAAGGAAGTTTAAAAAAAGCAAGGTTAATTTTCGCAAGTGAATGGTTCTATTGTACAAAGTAGATTATCCATCAATCAGTGTTATAGTTGTCTGGTTTCTAATTCCGGTAAGCAGGAAAAGCATATTTCTCTGTGATGTATTTGCTGTGAAGGTCTCTGCTTTTAGCAGTTTATTGGACATTATATGACGATATCATCTACCCATTATCTCAAATGTGTGGCACATGAATTTGCTAATTGTTTTAATGCATTTTTTTGGGTAGTTCAGTGGTAGGAATTGAACTTGGGATATAGTGTTGTTGAAATCAACTGCTAACCACTTAAAAAGTCCAAGCCCAATTCCTAACCACGCTTGTACATTCTTAAATTTTGCGACTGTTTTATTGTTCTTACTGGCATGCCCACTTTAAGATGTGCTACTTCATATTTATGTACACCAAAATTATGCATAATGCCCAAGACCTTGTTATAGAAAGATTCCACCCACCCAAATAAAGAACCGTTGCAAATCAACAAATAATGTGGTTATGGTGTTTTCTAGGATGACCTCCGGGGATTTGGTACATCTCACACCGGATTTTCTTGCATCAATGGCACACCCTAAATTAGGTAAAAGTCAACTCAAGAACTCCAAGTGGGGAACCTTGAAACCTCAGGTAACGTGACTTATGTGGTTTCTCTGTCTCTCCGGGGTTGGTTTTCTTTCACATCTAGGGTTTTCTCTGTAGAGCTCCTAAGAACTTTATTTTTTTTTGGTCACGAGCATCTCTAGGTAACTTTATAATGTTCTTCACATGTGCGGCAACCAGTAGGAATACCTTCTTCGATCTTTAGACCATGGAGAGTGCCTTTCTCCATCACATGCGCATAACTTGTTGAAAAAGTTCTCCTTTTCAATATTTTCAACTGTGCTTTTAATAGAGAAGAATAGTAGATTAGTATTCGTGTAGCCGATCCAAGTTTGTTTGTTGGAAAAAGGTGTTGACTAAGATGATGATGATATAGCTCAAATGCCCTATTGAGACTTTTTAACTTTTTCCTAAATTTTTAGCAACATTAGCGAAGCATTTTCTCTTTTTCTACCATGTGAAATGCCGTCTGAGAACACCTTTGTGGAGATTATATTTTCTCTTTTTCTACCATGTGAAATGCCGTCTGAGAACACCTTTGTGGAGATTATATTTCTCAGATATGGATGTTCTGAGGAGAACAGTAGGGTATCAATTGCGGTCCCATAGAGGTCTTTTTCTCTCTTAAATGCTGAAATTCTTCTCTTACAATCTCAATACTTTTTGTTGATTTTGTTAAAACTGAAACGCTCTTTTAAATGATCATGAACTTCCCTATGAGTAGGCTTATGTTCTCCCAAACATGGCTCTCATGGAGAACAACCTGCCCATGGTGAATCCTCTCTCTTCTCGTACTGAACACATTCTGTATTGTTTATTTTATTTGGATGGTATAGAATAGACTTATTCAGAAACAATATTAATACATGATACATCTTTTCAGACAGTGTCTGATGTTTAATGTGCATCGTCTAAATAAAATAGATGGTATAGATCGTCTAAATAAAATAAATGGTGTAGATTAGTGCAACCACAAATAAGGTGGCAACCTTATATAAACTTTTTTTCTTATTTAATTAACATTAGTGTTGACGTAGAATTTTGGTTTTGACTTCACCTTTTTCGTTAGTCGATCTATGGGTTGAGAAACTTTAATTTCAACATTGCACCTTAGAGTGACCTTAATGATTCTGAGGATGACTTTACATCCCTACCTCTAGTTCATTATCTCACACTTCCGAAAATAGGAAAGTTTACCATTTCAATCCAATCTAATATGCGCTCATGGTTTCCAATATTTTGCAACATTATTATTTTGAAAAATCTAAAATCTCATCAGTCTTTATTTGGCTCTAATCCATAATCACAACCTCTACTTATGGACGCCACCCACATATAAGACGTGTGGCTGTCATTCCCAAACATTTGATTTGAACAGATTATTAGAATAGCTTCAGTAACAACATCACAAGTCAAACTCTTTAGCTTGATTGGACAATCTTAAGTATTAAACCCGTTATCTTGATTGGACAATCTTTTAAGTACTTTATATTTTTGTAAATCATTTTGATCTTAAGTATTTTATAATTTTGTAAATCATTTTGAGATAAAATTTGGGGTTTGTGTACTACTCATAAGAGCATGCATAATAAAAATTAGAAAAGCATATATATATATTTAATATAAATAACAAAAATACAGCTGAAATTTAAAAGGGTATTTTCGTTATTTATTTTTAGCATAAATAATTTTTTCTATTTATTTTTTTTTTTTTTTTTTGATGTGTTCCCTACAAGAACTAGACATACTTTAAATTTCATGTCATAATGATTTATAATTTTTTTTAAAAATAAAACAATGTTGAACGTATTATAAAAGTTACATAAAGATCGATCGGTTCTTTTATATGTAGGTAGCACAAGTAAAGATTTTGACATATAACAGCCTCTTGGTTACCTCTAGCAGCCAAAGCCTCAATCTTTATTATCTATAGAAAATGGCTAAAATCTCAATCTTTAATGGCTCCCAGCCAAAACCTTCATTTTTTTTTTAATTGGATTAAGTCATACATAAAGACATCTTATTGGCCCTAAATCAAATGTATAAAGAATGAAGAAGAAAATCACCATTCAAATATTTGGGAAAATTTGGGTTTCAATTTAAGTTAAACAGGTAACTGGGAAAATCTTCAGAATCACCACCCTCAAAGAAATTTAAACTTTGTTTATTAAAAACTTCCCAGTCCGACTCAGGCTCACCCAAGTTGGACCAGGCACCCTAACTGAGTCAACCTCTCTTGTTCAACCTAATACTCTGCATGCCTCAAGCACACAAATGGGCTGTACGAACAGCCATATCAATGCAGTGAATCCCCTGAAAGAATTTTGAAGCTGAATGGCACATACTCGTGCCAGAGAAAGAGCTAAAGCTAATTTAATGTGTATTTCGACCCCTGAGAAATTTGAAGCTGAATGGCGCATACTCTTGCCAGAGAAAGAGCTCTCAAATAATTTAATGCATGTGCATTTCAACAAATGGTCATAGTTCACGATATTTAACAAAGAATACTTTGAATTACAGATAATGAGATATTTGTTCCCACACGGACCAGATATACTTCCAAAACTCTCAAGCACCACATTGTGACTATAGAACTTAAATAAGTACATGAATTTCACAATGGGAAAAGCTTATCAAGAACTCAGCGAACCACCAGCTCTCAAGATTCTTATTCCGTTCTTATAATCAAAGTCGGTACTGAGCATGGCGAGATATTTTAGAAGCTACCAACAAAATCGAATAGAATGCATGGTCTGTAAAATAATATACATTTGCTCTCACCCTCCTCTTTTTGTATTACCTGAGAGAGTGCTACCCGGGGTCAATCAACCATTAGAACTTCACGAAAGGTAGACCCTCAAAACCAAATCAACCACAACTTGGAAACACTGGTGCAGGTTCCTAGGTATCAATAGTTGGGTAGGCAGATCCCTGACCAGAATGGTGGCCACTGCCATTAGCCTCAGAGCTAGTGTTGAAAGGTGATGGTTGCTCACCTGAGTGTGATGACTTCCGGGACCTAGGGTTTTTTGGTGAGCCCATGTAAGGTGTGAAGTCACCATTGGGCACTGTATAGTAAGAGGACGGCAGCCCATGTATCTTTGGTAGACCAGTTGCATCAGTGGCCGTACTAGAGCCTTTCAAAATGCTATCGGTCTCAAGTGGCAGTTCATCCAATGTCTAGGACAGAGTAGAATGGATAATGTCAGTAAACATTGAATAGTGGTTGTTAGGGATAGGTAGTTGGGTTAAGGTTACAAAAGTCAACAGGATGCCGTCATTTATATTTTGGGACAGTTAAATGCGGAATATGGTCGTCATACCAGTATGGTCATAGGGCTCATGACCATCCAATCAATCAACGAATTCGTCAGTGATAGATGGAGAGTGGGTCCCCAAGCATGTCATAGAAGTACATCTCCTTCTCCATCAACCAATGTCCAACCCATGGATTGATTGGTGATGACTACAATGACCATGCCGTTATAATGACCATATGGCTAATTCTAGGCTATTCCTAATATTTTTGATGCAGTATGACTTCTTGGGTGACTCACTAAGCACAACTCAAATGCATTTTTCAGAAAAGATTCCGACTATCTTGAATAATTTTGCAAAATAATAAATGAACCTAAAAATATTACAAAATTACACAAGTTTTGTTTCTTTTTTTCCTTGAGAGAGAGAGAGAGAGAGAGAGTGTTCCCATAGCCTCATGTTGCAAATCTTTCAGCTAAAAATTTCAGCAATTTTGTAGAGAAAAATTAGATAATTCCTTTGCAAATTTTAAAATGTGTAAGGTCAGTTTGTTCTATTTTTTTTTATTCTTTGACTGATACACAATGGTCGTCTTGTTACTTTGAACCAGTAGCTTTCACGTGATGAAATCTTTCAATGATTGTCTAATTGTTTTACCAATAAGAGGCAGAAGGCACTCACTCGGAAGGCTTGTTGCAAAACACGGAGGATTTCACGACTGCGTTTCCGTTTTGTTGCTATCTCTTCAGGCTCCTGCAGCATCTCTTCAAAAATATTTTCTCTGCTTACATCCAAAAAGGAAATTTAGCCATAAGCCAATGCTAAAAACAAATGATTGACATATAAAAATGAACACGGAAGTTTGAAAATTTGATTAGACAGCCATCCTACCTGTATAGTTTCCTAATAAAGACATTGTGAAGCTCTCTCTTCGCATGGTTAACCTACATAGAAAGTCACATAACAAGCATCATTGAGTGCACAACCAAGGTATCTCTAGGTAATTTAAAAGTTCAAAGATGCATAAAAACCCCCCTCTTCAATAAACCTATGTTCTATTTGAATGACAGATTGAAGATCACAATCATACTTATTTTCTTTTCAACTAGCTTCTACCAACCCAAACCTTGGATACGAGGGCACTGCAAAAAGCAGCACTCCCAAAACATCGTTAAGAATGACTGTAAGTCAAGAGGTAGATCAACTAGATTTGCTCTTTGGGGAAACAAACTTAAGGGTCCAACCCTAAGTATCCCATACACACACCTGAGCTATCTACCACTAGGCTAAAGCCTACCACTAGACTATAAAGCCCAAAAGACGCAACTTTTTTTTTTTTGATAAATAAAAATGCATACTCATACTTCCCTTTACATTCTAAGTTTTAAACCAAGCATTCAAAGGAAACAGATTAAGTGAACTAAATGATTAGCCTTATTATAGGATGCAAAATCGAGTTACTGCACACAGATATCGTCTAATGAATTGTGCCACCTTGTCTGCACCAGGATCACTGCTTCAGCCAGGCTTTCAATTACCAAATAATTGCCATCAAAGTGGCAATCTAGAAAGTAGAAACCCTCGCAAATTGTACTTCCATGCCTCCTCGACCCTCTAGGGGCTGGAATGACTATTCATGATGGTATCTCACTCTCTAAGAAGATCATCCACTCTTACCCCCCTAAACTTCTCCCGTGAAAGAAAAACCCACAAACTTAAGCTCATGATAGAAGGAAGCAAAGAAATCCATGAGGCTATACTTTTAGGAGGCGATTCACAACGATACCAATTACTGCACAATTCAGCATAGTTTGTCATGTCAACTTCAGTGAAGGTTCAGTTAACATCAGCCATCTGCTGTTGACAGCAGATGGGTGATGTTACCAGTAACATATTCAACGGGGATTACTATATATAACAGAAGGGACAAGATAGAGAAACTAATTTCCTTCAATGGGTGGTCACTCAATTTATAGATCTTTCAAAAAACTAATCGGGAAGTTTATCATAATACACTGAAGGAGATGAATTATTTAGCACATTACACATCTCTGTTGATTCAATTTCCAAAAGCCCATCAAAATACATGTGCCATGAATTGAAATAGTTGAAAAGGGAAAAATGTTAAATAGTTCATAACTTGGGTGTATTTTGATAAATTTCCCAAACTAATTTATCCTTTTTCTGCAACTTTCAGAGTCACATAAAACTTAGTTTGTTGATGCGCGGCGAAAACAGTATATTACCAACTATCAATGAACATTGTTTTTCCCCCTTTCAGTGAATTAATCAATGACTGTTAGTTTAAGAATAGAAAAATATAGACTGGCACATTATTAAATCTAGAGAAATAACACGAATGTGGCAGAACAATGGAGGAAATGTATTTGAGAGACTTGTCATCCCCTGTGTGCATATCAGGGAAAATTTACAGTACAGGTCAAGCATGCTTAGGGATTGGATGTCTGTGATGAAAAAGGGAAAAGCACATAAAGGTGAGGATAAGACGATTATGTAGACAACCATCTAAAGGTCATTTGAAGTGAAATTTTGATGGCAGCTCTTTCTGGAATTCGCTCAATGGATCATCTACTATTTGCAGAAGCAGGATGCGAAAGGAATTTGGTACTTATCCTTGACCACTTTAGCATCTAGTGAGTTACTCCTAAACCTCCTATGGCTCCCATGTTATCTTGGTCCCAAGTTCCCTTCACAGCGAAGGTGCCGCCAGATTATTAGAAATGTAACCAAATGTTGACAACATCTCAAAGATATGCCATTGAGAAGAAATTGGATGTATAGGATGTGATGCGTCAAAGTTGCTTAATAGAGGGGTATGTTAAAAGGAAAGAAGGGAAAGAACATTGTGACGAGTACCATTTCTATCTTTCAACCATCAAGCATCCCCCAACTTTCTCTTTCTCTCTCTGGAATCCCTCTCACATTTTCTCATTCATCTCCCCATCTCATTCATTTTCTCACAATCTCCTCCCACTCAAACTCCAATACTCCCTCTCTCTACGTTTTCTCACAATCTCATCCCACTCCAACTCCAAGACTCTCTCTCTCTCTCCCCCCCATCTAACCCAGAACTTCATTGCCAAGCTTTTCCCTCAACCTTAGATAGGTTTATTTCTCTCTAGTTGATGGTGTAGAAAAAGAATGGCAATTGAGGGTGTGGCAGACAGTATGCTGGAGCAGATTCTTCTATTCGAGCTTGTGTGGAAGGTGGTAGATGTGGTTTTGAGAGAGAGAGCGAGAGAGAGAGAGAGAGAGAGAGAGAGAGACAGGGAAGGATGAGGAGAGAGAGATTCAAATAGAGGAAAGAGTGAGAGGCCAGGCAGAGAGAGAAGGTGTGGAGGTTGCTAGAGAGAGGATGAAGCCAGGAAGAGAGACAAGAAGGAATTTGGGATTTCTAACCAAAAGTAAGAATACAGTGGCAACCTTTTATCCCAATCCAAACGGTTTCTCAATCAACGAAAGTATTTTACTTCTCAGTTTTGACTGAAATTCACTTGAAAATTGCGTTATGGCTATTTGAAGATGGGTTATTTTGGTCAATTTATTATTCACGCCCCTTTCTAAATGTTATCCACTGTTTTTCAGGGGGTGTGAAGAATAGATTAACCCTATAACCTACATGCATACATATATGTATATACATACACATTATACATATACATAAACATATATATTCTTCATAAAACAAGCTCTCATTTCATACTGATAAAGCCTCATTTTTTGCCAGATTACGATTATCCAGAGTTTTTGATGCATTTGAATGTTTTGCATACTTGTAACTTCATGTGTGATTCTCTGGCATTCTTTTTAATACAACAAGCATAAGTTAACTTAAAAAAAGAAACTCATATGGAATGATATAAACAATGGTTCTCGTCATACTAAATCAGATTACAGCGACAGGCCCTTTAACATGGGATAACCAAGTTGTAAATGTGTAACTTACCAAGAAATGCATTATTGCCTTCGGAACATAATCCTGGATGTTCTTTCTAACAATATCATAGTATGATCTCAAAAGCAATTTTGTCACTCCTATTTCAACTGCCTCCTGCTCTGTTTGTGTCTCCGAGGGCCTCAGGATGCTAGGAGGCTAAAAGCATAATAATAATGCATCAGTCAACCCAAAAAAAACAATGATTTAATTTATTAACATTGGTGTTACCTCTTTTAACTGGATCATAGAGAAGGAGTTCTCCAAATTATGAGCAGGTTCACCATATGATTTGTTTGTAAAGTTCTCCCTTGCACTTGCACGGCTCTCACTACCTCCAAATATTGATGAGATGCCCCAACTTGACCCAGAGGTGCCTCCTGTTCAGTATTAGTGACTCAGTGGAGGACTAAAAATTTGTATGCATAATGGGAACATTCTGCTTTCCATTAATATGTAAATTTGGAGAAATTTTCAACTGTCAATCAATAAACTACAATAAAAATGTAAGTAGAGTGGATAAATCAGATCATGGTTGTGTTAGTGTAGTGAAGAAACAGAATACCATGGGATAATCCATGAGATAATCAATAATATAAGAAACAGTGCGATAATTTCTACGAGTATGCAAAACGAGGGGCATATAGAGAGTGACTCCGACTGCAGTGCCTAATACAATTTAGACGAGGTTAGCTCAGATCACTAATCAGTTCAGTTAGAATTTATACAACTCAAAATATATATTCACCAGATACCAACTTACCAGCTGATCCTGGTCTCTCATTATTTGCAACCGGTCGAATCCCCTATTTCATTACAGGAAAAGAAAAACATCATTAAGACATGAAGGAAACCAGTTAACAAATATTATGCTAAGTTCACTGCAAGCAGCGTTTTCAGAACAAGGGAGTTCTAATATCAAAAGAATGCTACTTCATTTCACTGGAAACGCAAGCATATGATAGTGAACGTTACAATGTCTACAAACCTGGTCAATAACCCCGTTTGCAGTAGATCTCGCAAGAAGTGCACGGGACTTCTGAGTCCTATCTGACATTTGAATTTTGTCAGATTCTACCCCATCCTGAAACCAGAATGCAGATTCCATTTAAGAATGCTTCTTATTTGACTTAAGATTGGGCTTGATACTGTATCAGAGACACACAATAGCATGACCAGAGGAAGTAACCTTGGCTTTTGGCAAAGTCGCTGATAACCTAGAAGACTTCAATTGCTGGGTGGCCATCTCTACAGCTTTACTTCCGCCAATAAAATTCGGGTGTGAAGTATTTATATAATCCATCTTCAAAATCAATACACATTCATCAGTATAGATGCTAAATAATGCAGAAAAGTACTGATCCAGATAGATATGAATAAATTTAAAATTGCAGTCATCTATGGCAGTACTCAAAATCAGAGGCACAAAACAAGAGGTGAAGAAGCTGCAGGAAATTGCATAGGGAATTTCCTTAGCCATGTTTCCCAAAAATCTCATTCATGTACATACACTTGTAGACACCCACTTTTGAAATTAGTAAATTTTTCCTGAGTTCCTGAACCCTAGGGACAACCATAACCTAGTAGACCTCAGTCATCTTTTCAGACCTAAAACCCAAACTTTAGACTTATCCAAGCCCGAAATCAGCCATCCTAGATAGCCCTAAGCCTTATAAACACAGGAAGCTAACCTAGACACCAATCCTACACCCAAAACCTGAAAACCAACACCTTGAAGGCCTAGCCCTCTAGACCCCTCAAAACTCACCCACATTGGGCCAAATTTTATTCTACACTGAAGAGGAGATCAATAGCTTTCCAACAGTCCAAGACTCAGATGAATCTGATTTATGGTTTGTGAGTTGTGGACCGAACGAATTTGTTCGTCTCAAATTCGATTCAGATCCAATCCCCAGATGCCTGGGGGGCGGCGTCCAAAGCAAAAGAACACCTAAGCACTGGGAGATCCAGCGTCTAAACCCTATTCAGATGTCCAGAATTCCGGTATCCACCCAAAAATCGACCCAAATGTCGGGAGTCTGGTGTCCTCAAACTTAACCCAATCAAACTGACTTTTGACTTTTGAGAGATAAACATGTTGGAAACTTCTGCAAAACGCGTGGGGATGTGTGGAACAATCTATAAAAAGGCCCAAAACGTACGAAACTCCTAGATCTGAACCTTCTTAGAAACCCTAGCCATAAACTTAATCCTAGAGAGAGAAACCCTAGGCTAGTCTAAACCCTAGGTATCCAAAAAAACCGTGATTTTCAATTCTAATCATATAATTTCATTGTTAAACTAAGCCCTAGGAAGATAAACCTACGCATTCTTCATGAAGAAAAATCGAAGGAGCACCGTGTAAACAACCCGCGGTCTGATACAGGCACCAAATCCAAATTTAACTTTAGTTGAATTTGTTTTTTTAGTTTTGGGGTATTCCGATAGGATTTGATTGATCTTAAGCCATATCTGCCAGCGGTTCTCAAATAACCTTGATCTACCAAGATCTGGATTCTTTTTTAACCATAATTTGAGGGACCCCACTAATCTTTATCGTTTTTTATTTTAACTCGTTTAAAGCATAAATTTGGGGAAGTGTCATATGAGGTCTCACCCGATATGCATTGTAAACAATAGTACAAACTAATAAAGAGATAGATGCAAGAAATATCACCACATGGGTGGCAGTAAGGATAGAGTCCAACTTTCCAACTCTTGCAAGACAATAAACCAAAAGAAAACAAGCCAAAAGACAACACTTCCATGAAACCTTAAGGCAAGAACAGAATTGTTGGGATTGGAAGTGGGATCAGGATAGTGACCAGGATCAGGAGTGGGTTATAGTGAAAGGCTAGAAGATCCATTTAGTTGGGAGCGCCTTTCGTACAATGCATATGTTATAGATTGAGATCCCTAAATGTTAGGGATCGCAATCCTCCCAACCATAAAGAGTAAATATAGCTTCGGACTATATATACTCTTCAAAATAGGGTTCTCCTTATTTAAAACCAGCAAGCGATGTACCTATATTAAAAGTATGATTGCATTTTTAGCTTGGCTATAATAAAGAAAATCATCAATTTCGTATCTTGGTCTTTAAGATGGGGATCGAAATCCCTAATAGTAAAATCAAGATCCCAAAATTAAAAAATTGAGTTCCCTTAAAGATCCCTTTGCCAGAGCACAAGAGAGAGAGATTTGTGAGTGGCACTGTCACGTAGGTTGGGAGATCTCAGCAACTATGCACAAGACAGGTTCCACACAGCCATGGTGTCCTATATCTTAAGAAAATGTTGATAAAAATTAGACAAAAGGAAATAGATTTAAATCTATATCAGCGGGCAAGTATACAAGGATAGATTTCACTCGAAGAAGACATGGCAGATTTTTACAGGCTAACAAATGGAAAAATGCTTAAGGGCCACCATTTTCCAGTCATTTGGCATTTTCACCATGTCAACTTTTCTCAGAAACAAAGGAATCACAGTAGAAATTCATAAGTTTGGTATGCATGGTGAAGAAACAACAAAGAAAATCAGTGGTGATGAGAAATTATCTGATAAGGCATTAAAATACTAGCAATGAAAATTAAAAGTAAATCTAAATAACAGAAAACAGGATTCGCACTTGGAAGTGATTGATTAACGTGTTGATGATCGGCTTTGACCTGCCATTGAAACCAAACCCAACACACACACACCCACCCCACTTCTGAGGCTTCCCCAAAAAATTATTTTTAACAGTCACCCAAAAAACTCATCTTTATATGGAACTCACATGTTTAAGCATGGTTATTTTAGGAACAAAGTCTAACACACCCTTGCAAGCCTGTATTTAGCAATATGGTATGGATAATAGTCGAACCAATAAAAAAATAATTGACTTGATTAACAAAATTGGCAAACAAATTGTAAAAATAAAACCACAATCCAAGAGTGATGGAAATGCCATGGAAAAGGAGAAATAGCTAAGGGAATTAAACCAACACTTGCATAAGAAATATGCCAAAACTGGAAAATAGATGTAAGTAGAATTGAGAAAACGGAAGAAGAAGAGATGATATATGCCAGCCGACCTCATTAGCAAATTTAGTGATCAAGTTAGAAAGCAAAATGCAATCTCCTAACTGAAGGATATACTTCAGAACAAGAACTAGCTGAGCATAAATTAACGGATGATCCCAAAATGAAGAATACCAAACGAATAGAAAATAGGTTTGAGCAAGACAAAAAGAAGATTAGGTAAAAAAGAAACTCAAAACAAGACAAGACTGAGAGCTGAAGATAAAAAGACAATTCACCAGCATCTTAAAAAGAGTATTAAATTGTTAACCAGAAAGCATCTTAAAACATTAACAAAAACTTTGAAAGAAAAGGACTCGAATTCCCCTCTTAGTAGTAGCATAATCATTCACCAACTTCAAATTCTCCATATCCACGAGGATACAATTTATCTTCCAGCCATTTAGATGCTCATATTTAACATTATACTAATTCACATGTTCAACAAATTTTACAGAATAAAATGTGATAGTGGAAAGAAGTTGAAGGCCGCATGCTATATTGTCAGTGTGAATGCCAGCAGCTCATAGAAATTCCATCATCATAGATGAGAAACAACCAAAATTTCCAAAATAAAGGCAAATGAAACCGGGGGAACAGAAAAGAGAATCCCCAAATTGACCATCAGAAAGTGTGATGGAGAAAAAAGAGATAACACACAACCCAATCCAACTATCGATCACATTCCACGTGTCCAAAAATGCCTATTATTTTCCTATGGGCATGTTAATCAACCTTGAAGACTTATAAGACACTGAACCAAACGTATTAAACTCTTTCAGTTTACAAATGTTGAACGCATCAGAAAATAAGCTCAATGATAATTCCGATTGTTTCATATAGATCACACTACAATATTACAGGTCAGAAATCAAGCATACCTCCATTTCAACTATGTGGCCAATCATTGTCTCAACAGGTCCCAAACCTTCTCGCAAGAAGTTTCCAATAACTTCATCCAGGCGTCTCCTCAAAACAGGAAACCGCTGCAGCTCAACAGCCTGGCATCGATGACTCATCTGGATTGATTGGAAAATATGTTACCATTTCCACAGATTCAGAATTTCAAGACACAGACTAACCGTTGGTGACTGATAAAGACAGGCATGCCAAAACCCATTTACCCTTTTTCATTGTAAATCCATATACCTTTATTAACTCGTCGTATATAAATCGTGCACACTGAAGGCTTGGATCTAAAAGTCGAGCGATCTGCCTTTTTATCAAGACTTCAAATGGTACCTAAATATGCATATACATAACTTTGTTTAAGTAAAAATGACAGGTATTGGTATTCCAACTTGTTAAATAAAATAAACACCTAATTCACGCTCGAATGATGTTTTACCCACCTCAGGTACAAACAAAGCATTTTTGGGGCCAGTAGCATTCTGAATAGCCGTTCGAATATCTTCATCAGTTAGATCATCACAGGGATCAACTTCCTTCAATAATTCATACATAGTATTAGATCATGAAGACAACCTCTGTAGGAACTTAACACTAATCGACTTGGGAGGATCACTGTAGGAGTTAACACCAAAGGTCTAAAGCCCAAGTCCTCACAGTCCTGACTCGGCACTAAGGCGAGTCCAGCACAAGACCAGTAAGTTTTAATAAGAAAATTTAAAAATTATTGAATGAGGTGGAGGGTTGGGCAATTCTGGGGTCTTTCGGCTCAGAATCATTAACCTCCCGATCCGGTCCGACTCGGGAAATCCTAAGTCAGGAAGAGAATGTGTGCACCACCTGAAACTTTACAATATTAGCAATACGCACCTCCAAGCATTTAACAAATATAGACTGGAAAATATAGTGAATGCGTGCGCCCCCTGAAAGCTCAGATGTAGACATTTCCTCATTCTTCCCCTCGACCATTGATGAAAATGCTGCAAGATAGAGTCTATCAGTGGAAGGGCAACAGGAGGAGATATCAAGAAATCAAATGAGGACTTCAAGAACTGAATGCAAAATATATTGGCCAAAGGCCGAGTGAAAATTCAGTCACAACAAAACAAAATCAGCCCTAGATTCATTGAAAAGAACAAGCCTGCTCAAAAAACTGGAAAAGAAACACTCATTTCCAGCACACAAAAAGAATGACTCAACTATATCATGCTAACAGCACCAAGATATGGCCAGCCATGGACTGGGCTTGCCCAGCCAGACAAACCCCAGGCCCAGGCCACTACATCAGGGCCGAAGGCCAGGCCCTACCAAAATCAAGGTCCTATGGCAACCTGGGCATGGGTCCATGACCAGACCTCTTCTTTTTTTTTAAGGCCAATTTAAGAAAATGTATAGAAATTTTAAAGAGTACATTGGATATGATTCAGACCCATTACAACTGCTTAGCATGCATCATAATTGCATTCCGTATTTGAATTTTAGTTTTTTTTCTACAAATTCAAATAACTTGGAATTTTAAAGGTCTATTATTAAAAAACAGGATAATCTAATAAAAATATAAAACGTATTCATAAAAATTAAGTAGACCAAAACACCCCTAAAACTTTCAGGGATATTTTGGTCAATTTACTTTTTGCAAATAATTTTTTTAATATTTTTATTAGGTGCACCCTGATGAGAAAAGTGGACGCCCCAAATTTCATGTGACTTGGATTTATAGAAAACACTAAAATTGAAATACGAAATGCAATTGCGACTGTCAGATCGGCCCAGATTCAATCTGAGCTGTTGGGCTTACACTATTCCATCAGCCCAAGGGCTCACAAGATCTTTTCCCTATTAGAATCACAAGAAAAGCATAAAGATAGAGGGAGAGCCCGTCGGGTGGTATATGTATGGTTAAAATGGCCATAATACATAGTTCACTTTTATTTGTGTGTGTGTGTGTTGTGTGTTGTGTGTGGGTGCGTGCACATGTGTGTGAGGCCTCACATCAAACACTTCAAGGTTATCTTATTTTTTTCCTATCTTATAGGCAGAGTGAGAGAGCCTATGGACCTCTGTGAGAGAGAGAGAGAGAGAGAGAAAGAGAGACAGAGGTCTCGCATCAAACACTTGGAGGATATGTTCTTATTTTTCTTCTTCTATGTAGAGAGAGAGTATGAGTTCGTGAGAGAAGGAAAGAGGGAGAAAAGAAGGGGGAACGCTCCTATCCAACACTTGGAGGACGTCTTCTTTTTCTCCTTCTTATATGTCGAGAGAGAACGTATCGTCTGCGCGTCTAAGAGAGAGAGAGAGAGAGAGAGAGAGAGACCTTGCATTGAACAATTGGAGGTGATCTTCCATTGTCTATGCAATGTTCAATAAAAATGATGTCATCTTATTATAAGAGAATGTACAAGACCTTTATACAATGTCATATATAAATACATTGTCTTAATTTTAATATATTGAGGGTACATTCTCTCCATTTTTAATTTTTAATATATTTAAGATAATGTATTAATGACTAATGAGCATCCAAACCCAGTGATTCTATTCATTCAATATTTCAATCCCTAAAATTTCGCTGAAATTTTACATAAACTTATTGAGTAAGATGCTAAAGTAGTTGAAGTTTTAAAGAGCAATTCACTAGATTGCCGATTCACCGATCCGGACCGATTTCTCGTACGACTGATTTGCTCGATTGATCTAGGTTTTCAGACATTGTCAAGAAACAAATAGTAATCACAAGCAACGAGATTACTTCTTCCCTGGTTGAGTCAAATTATGCTTGTCAAGATCAAGGATGTCCACCTGCAAATCGAAAACACCTAGAGCACTGGCCCCACATCTAAGTCTTCTATCACTTTTCTCTTCAGTCAAATCCTTATGCAGAGCACAGCGATAAAAAGGGTTCTACTAAACATCATCGAGGACGGAAACATTGTCTTGACCATGAGCAATGCCTGCGGTTGTTGTGCAAATTGTTGAACCTATGTCCTAAGATCTTCAATTTCTTCATCTCTAGAATCATTTAGTAGATCTACGAGACTTCCCCTTCCACGCCCCTTTCTTGCTAGTTGCTACCATGGATTCACCGAACCACAAACCCTAAGATGACCATCAGCAAATCTTAGGCTAAAATCAGTAAGTTCTAAGCTCAGGAAACCTTGGCTGAGATCAGGAAATTTTAAACTGAAATAAGCACATCATTGCCTGAATTCAACGAGCCCTAGACTTGAAGGAAGATTCATGCCCTTGTTGACCATGAATCCTTGGCTCTAATACCATTTGATGTAGGAACTTGAAGGAGAAATAGAAAATTAAACAAGTAGCACATATTGAAGAAGCTTGGGATTTCTTTTTCAAACCCCAACTAGGGCTTCAAAGCTACCCCACGCCCACCCCAAACTCAAAACCACATATGCATAGTTCCCTAGACCTCACACAACTCTTTTTTATATCTTAAATGAAGTACAAAAGTCGACATGCCCTTCACCAAAATAAGATTGACTAAGTAGTCCTAACTTAGAAATAACTTAAAATACCTCAACTTTAAGTAAAATACCTAGAATGTCTCTCACTTAACCAGGAAATAAAAAAAATTAAATCTAAGACAAAAAACAAAACTAAAGTAAGATGGAATCCACTAAGAAAATATCACGATCAATGCTTGTTCTTTTTTGTTCTTCTTGGTTGCTCCTCTGGGACTTGTATCATCCAAACAAATGTGTGTACTAGGAGGAATCTGCTGCTTCGATAGATGATAGTCTTCGCTATTTATACTTTGCATGTCATCACCCCCTCTCTCTACCTTGTTTTCTTCTCTCATCTTTTACCTCTTCCCATCTTTTTCCTTTCTACCTTTTTTCTAGCCCTATCACCCCACTGATTCTTCCTTTTCTCTCCTCTTCTCTCCCGACTCTTCTTTTTCTTCCCCCCTTCTCATAGGTTTAATTTTTGTTTTATTTTTTCCTTACATGTACTGAACTCACTTTATTGTCTGCAAAAGGCCTCTTTTCTTTCTCTTTTGGTTCTCGATCTCCATCTGGATTTTATACAATCTTATAGAGCACCAAACCTGTGCGCTGCCTCTAGGATCCCGGGCCAACTCAGACCCCACTCATTGCCAGGCCCACAGCAAGGCCATTGATTCTTTCAATAAATACACAAAAACGACCAAAGATTTGTGGAAAGGAAAACTGTATCAAGATGATTCCAGGTAACAACCACCACCAAGTCTAATAATATATCAAATACTCATTGAAAAGCTTTGCAATGCATTAAAATACATGAAATTGAATTTACAACATCAATATGAATGCGCGAGCATGGTATGAAGGTCTATGTCTAGCTGCTAGAAATCCCTATTTTCCATGAATGTGTTCCATTCCGCTCTAGGAAGTTCTTCCTTGATGGAGGAGATCCAGCAGGCAGTATTTAGCCTCCCAAAATGATACAGTTCCTACCCATGCATCATTGATAGCTCTCAAGTGCTTGGCCTTTGGGCATGAGGAAAAGCAAATGGAGGGAAGGTCATGCTGTATGTAATTTGATATCGGGAAAGCTTACGGTCACATGTTCAGAGTTTACTTGGGCAAAATGCTCGAAAGGTAAGCGTTTGGATTTAGATGGTGGAACAGAACAGGTGCTTATATTTGGTTGATACTCCCGCCTAACATAGTCAAAGAATACCCAAAAAAAATTTCATGAAGCTCCAGACATGAGAGAACCCCTTTTTTGTCTCCAATTCATCACCATGTTCAAATCATTCAATTGAACAACAGGATCGACAGAACATAGCTGATTGAAGGGTTCACAGTTACATAGTGCAAGTGAACTTCTAGTCCACACTTTGTGGAAGACAATACAGGCGCAGCTGTGCTTCAATTTCTGCAGAAATCCATTTTTTTCCCTTAAATGTTATGAGTTTGAGTTTGGCTCAAGAGTCAATGAGAAATACAGACAAGTTCAGGTGGCACTCTAATGACCAAAAGAGAAAATGAGACAGAATATGGTAGTATTTAGAGTTATAGAAGAGGTTGACGCCTAGAGTTTATAACTCTAAAATGTACTTGTGAAGAATGCTTCAATTGTGAAGCACTGAAAATTGCCATCGGATCCAATAGTTGAGAAATTAGACAAAAAAAGCTTGACCCCATTAAAAGGTCAATTTTGCAGCTTGAAATCACGTGCCAAACACCTCAGGAGCACAAAACCTTAATACACTCATGTCCAACACGTCTCTAGAATTTGGACATCTGTCTAAAATTTGGACTTGTTTTTAGAAGCTTTTTTTTTTTTCATAATTGTATGTGTGCACAAGTACGGACAAAATTGTGTCGAGAATTTGGACACAAATCTAATCTTTATATTAATTTTTATAAAACCAAAAAATTACACCACATGTAGAGATGCACAAATCTACAATACAGATGTCCCCATGTCCAAGAAGTCAACTGCACGTCTATGTAAAACCAAATTTGGATGAAAATGATGCTATAGGACAAGAAAAAAGGAATCAAGCAACGTTACGGATTACCCTCTGAGTATTTTGTGAGAATGTTGAGTAAAAGTGCCCCCTGTCCGGCCTGTAGCATAAATCCATATAGTAAGGGAGACATTAATTAGAAAAACAGTGCAAATGAAATGGTTGTGTAAGAAAGAATAACAGAATTTCAGGTATGCTAATTTCAGGAGAATGTGCTCTAAGTGTGCATACTAAACAAACTATGTCATTGCCAAATAGTTCAGACTATCTATGCCGTTATCAACATACTTTGGATTCTGTAACTTCACCATATGTGGCAAGCTCTTTCACAACAGAAACCATTTGAGAATTTATACGGGCTTTTAGACCTGGTAGAACAGCTTTGATATGCTGCACAAGAATCTGTAAAGCAAGACAACCATGATGTTATTGCCAGTCAAAAATCCAGCTAAGTACTATAAAGGCACCGGCAATATCCATACATTTTAGAGGCCAGAAGGATACACCTCAAATACCCAAGAAGATCAAAAGGAAGAGAAAAGATAAACATCGGTGAGCAATTATAGTAAAAAAACAATCTACCCATTTTAAGAAAGCAGAATGGAAAGTACGAAGCTCAATCAGCAAGATAAGAAACTGTATGTTGATACAACATCCTTATGGATATGTCTCTGAAATTTCTCATTCCAGCAATTACTATTGCCCTACAAAGATATATTATTCATTGCCCTACCTGGTTCAACTTTTTAGCTAACTGAGAAATACCACAACGATCTGCAAGACCATGATATACCTGTCATTTGGCAGAAGTAAATGAAAAGTAAGCGGTGAGGGGAACAACACATTAGTTGATCATTGCAATTTGATCATTGCAATGAACAATAGACAGTCTATAAAATAAAATAAAAAAGGGAAAAAGAAAAGAAAAAGAAAGGATAGAGTATGGGTAGTACTGGCCGACTGCGGAAGAAGTTATCTTCACAGGCAAGGGCATCCTGAATGCTCCGGTTGTACATAATATCCTGTTTCAAAGCACACAAAAGATGAAATTAAACATGTTGAATTCAAATGATTTGCGTTCACGACAAGATAAGGGCAGTGCCAATTTTCACACAATATCCCAACCTTTAATCTAAGTATTATATATGCAATTATGCATGCGCTCCGCCTCATATAAGTAGAAGACTCGTGCCAAAAACATTTCCAGTATACAAGAAGACACAATCTGATGGAGTATTCATCAGCCACTAAGGCTTCCAACTCCCAAGTCAGGCCAAAAAGAACAAGAAAGGAAAAAAAAAAAGGTACTAACTTCCAAATCTCATCCACATATATCATGCAAGAAAGAAGTAACAAACAAATAAAAATGAGAGCGAAAGAAAGCAACGAACCTCTTGGCTGCGATTCACAATGCCGATGTAACCAAGTCGAAGAGGAATTACATGCCCAAGCAACAGCTTGCGAGCATCTGTTCCCCTGTCCATTATATCCAGCTGATAACATGGAATAAAATCTCTTGTTATTTCCTATTGTCAGATATAAAGCATATTATGAAGTATTTGTAACTACAGAATCTTACATACAGCTAACCTTTGTAATCACACCAATAGTACGAGAACCTGCCAAGATTTTTCAACATTCCATGCATTAATACCTTAGTCGAACATGTTTTCACGAATCGTAGAATAACATAGAAAATCAACTTGAGGTGGAAAAACTAATGATAAAAGTACAAATATAAAAATTACCATCTGGATCGGCAATTCTTGCCATCTGAAGTGCATCTGAATTGGATAAATCAGCATTTGCAGGAGAAACTGCCAAAATTATACAAGTTTCGTGCTTGATATATGATAATATCATGGTTCTAATCCTTGCTTCGATATCAGATGGCTGGTCTCCAACTGGAACTTTAGTTATGCCAGGCAAATCTACTAGAGTGATATTGAGCACATTTGGTGAGAACACCTTCAACCTTATCTGTTTATCTGAAACACCTTTGTTTCCTCCTGCTTCCCGATCTGTTTCAGCCTGCATTCAAGAAGTTGGATTTTGAGGAAAACAATTCAAATATCTTCGAATCATCATGGTATATCATTACAACCTTAACTGACTTCCACATTCCATTCTCAGAAGGTTCTAACTCGAATCAAACTTGCAACAACCTTGCAATACCCAGCATGATAAATAAAACAAGCTAGGAAGCACAAAATCTTAAATCTCTTCCAGTACTAATATTCACAAAAACCCATACCAATTTTTTGCTTTCTTCTCGCCAAGCTAAACAAAACTTACCCTTTGAAATGCGCTCACTTTTTCTCTCACTCAAAAGGAAAGCGAACTTATCGATATACCACAACTGCTAGCCAAATCCAGTACATCTTTTACCCAATAAAAAAATGAAGACACACCATACAAACTCCAATATCACATCATTCAAATCCATACTATCTCATCCAGTTTTCAATAAAGAATGAAAGATGTTCATGACACAGAAGCAATTCCCAGCTAAAAAGCCACAGAACTTTTTGATGACAGTCAACTTAGACTAAGTCACCAAAATATACTTTTAACAATTAGTCAATAAAACATATATTGGATTCTATTTTTTAGTTCTCCAAGCATAGCTCAACGTACCCAAATTTTCTAAACCAATATCCATTGACTAGCTAATACTGCAATCACAAGCTAAAAGCCACAAAAGTTATTTGACTATTGAAGCTACAATTTTTATTTCTATTTTTTTTATAACATTGACGCTACAATATTCAGATCTCTACCTAGACTAAATCAGTAAAACCTACTGTGCATTTAGTGAGATATTATTTTAAATAGCAGAACACAAATGTCAAGCTCCGATAGAGTGAGAGAGAAAGGGAGAGCCCATATATGTCCCTCTACAAATTCCCTGAAACAATAGAGACTGTGCTGAGACTACAATTGCAGTTTCCATTAAAGAACAAGAAGCAGCAATTGATGTAGAGAGATAGCACGCATGATGGGAGTGAGAGAGGGGTATGAAGAATGGAAGTGAGAGAGAGAGACCATATTTTTCACTATAAAAACTCCCTGAAACAATTAAGTGGATATTCTGATGGGAAAATGGGTTCATAGTTGCCTTTAAAGAGCCAGAAGTAGCAATGGATGTAGAAAGAGCACATCGGGAATGGAAGTGAGAGAGAGAGAGAGCATAAGGAGTGGAAGTGAGAGAGAGAGAGCACATGGAATGGAAGTGAGATACATACAGAGAGAGTAACCAAACAGACAAACGAAAATAGCAAGATAGTCAAATGCAAGAGACAGGGAGGCATAAACTGAAAGAGAGAGAGCTTGATCAAAAGATAGAGATAGAGATAGAGAAAGATAAAGAGACAGAATCACCTGAATTTCCCGTCGAATGGCTGCAAAATCAAAAAAACGCTTCCCAGGCAGGTGCAAGAACTCCCCCCACTCTGATCCCTCTGCCCCCTCCCCCTTTCGAGGTGTATTCACAAGCTGCAAAACCAGAGGCCGCCTCGTGCAAATATCGGAACCCCTCGGCAAGAAATCCCTCCCAACCAGAGACTCAAGAACACTCGATTTTCCGCTACTTTGGCTTCCCACCACTGCAACTTGAGGTAAGTCTATGGTGGAACTGCTCCCTAACTGTGCAAATATGTCCTGTAACTTGTTCACCATTGGGATCACAGAATGACCCAATGAGTATCCTGATGCATCATCAGATACAGCATTTTCTGGTGGTTCAGCCATGGATTCTCAAAGAAAAGCTTCAGACACCCAGCTATACAATTGGGAAAATGATCCCAAAATCGGCTCTCAAAAGAAACTGGCCACAATAAAACCGAAACTTATCCCCGACAATCCCAGCATGTATTATTTTGTGGACTTGCAGAGAACCTAGAAAGCCAATAGTGATTAGATTTAGGAGAAACCCCAGATGCAATTTTGAAAAACAGCACAATATGGGAAGATTCTCGTGTAAGTCTCCAATGGAATTGCAGAGAATAATGGGTAAAACGAAGGGAAATTGAGCTCAAAGAAAAAACAGCACGGAACCAAGTTATACAGTGGAGAAAGAGGACATCAATAGCATGTATCAGAGGAAGCCTAGATTCAGAGATGGAATTAGGGTTTTGAAGAAATACTAGCTGTAAAAACTACAAAGAGTGAGGATTAGGGTTTCTGAGAGGGGGGGAAACAAATGGAAGACAAGTAGAGGCAGCGTATTTTCCCACCATTCAAAATGCAACTTCTCCACAGCCATCGGAAAAAAAGGCATAAAAAGTTCGATGGTTTTTTCGGCACGTGCGAAGCATGGATTGATCAGGGTACTCTGGTAATTTTATTAAAAGGGGTATTTTAGTAATTTTGAGATATATATGGACGCTACAAGGGAGTGGCATCCATTAAAATCAGGGTAGTTTAGTCATTATGGGGATCCTGTTTTCAACTTTTTTTTTCATATTCATGTTAAAGATTATATATTCTTTATAAATTAAGATCAAATTATATTTAAAAAATATATTTATTGCCAAGCCAGCATTTCTACAATAGCCAAGCTGGCCGTATAAAAACTGTGTCCTTCTAAAAAAACAAAAAAAGTCTCATCTGGAATCTCTCTTTAAAAAGTACTTTGGGTATAGAAATATTTACGATTGCTCTATAATCAATTTTCAATACCGACTATGAAATTTGAAACTCAAAATATGATATGAAAAGGAAAAAAATAATATAAATCACGTGGATTTATAAACACTCATTATCGAGGTGAAATGGACAGTTTGGATAGTGTGTTGCAATATATATTGCTTCTAGGGCACGAAATCGTAATTTTTTTCATAACCATAAAATGTTGAGATTATCGATTTAAAGGTTTTTCGACACCAAAATTAAAAATTTCAGTAAGTTTTGAAGTGGGGCATTACTTATTTTAATAGAATTGCAGCCCATGTCACTATTTTGAGAATTGTTCATTTGTGATTCAAGGCTGCTGTAGTAAATTTGAGAGTCCTACTATCCATTAGAGTACGGGCATCTTATCATTTTGAAGATTATGTGAACTGTGGAGTGTTATTCTAGCAGGAAGGGGACTTTCAGTGGTTCACTAGCCAATGGAATGGTATTATTTTATTTTTTTAAGAAGGTACACGGTTATCAATTCATCAAGGTAATGGAATTTACCGGAAAAGAAGAGAAAACAAATAAAGAAAGAAAAGAGAAGAACGGGATCAACGGCACACTAATGAAGGTGCCGGTGACAAGGATCTAAGAAGTAGCAGCTTTGGCTAGAAGATCAACATCATAGTTAAAGCCTTTCTTGACATGTAAGAACATCACCTTGCAGGACTCCAAAGTCATGATGATTTCATCCATAATGCTGCTAAGGCTCCATGGCATGAAGTCCAGACGATTGTACCATTTGATCACGTTCACTGAATCTCTTTTGACAATCACTTTTAGGTGTTTTGAGCTGAATAGTATTGCTTGATCAACTCAAATTAGCCATATTATGCTGGTTCATGTTTGACTCTTAATTTTACATAAGTATCATAGATCTTAAACTTTATTGTCTGAACTATGAAGTTGGAGCTCCAAAAAAAAAATTAAAAAAAAAACACACACACACTTATATGCACCAAATAACTGGGGTTATTTTGATTTTTTTGTTACATTTTCTTTTTCGTGCCTACCTAGGTGAAGCTCACATGTCTCCGGTCAATCAATTAAAAAAAAATCAAATAGTGTGCATACACGCTAGGCATCAATATGTGAAAACTAAAATTCCATGCTGTGAAGTCTATTCCATTGGACCAACAAGATTGTCTATTAAAAAAAGGAAAAGTATACAACGAGGCCATTTACTTTTTGTATAAAGTAGTCACAGTTAATCTTGATCATTGAATATGAAATTGAGTGGTTACATTTCTTCCATTGACCAAGCACAAAGTTCAAAAGAAATATTCTCGAACTTTGTGATACACTCAAACTATAAAATTTCACATGATGGTTAATCAATTACGTCTCGTATAATAGGTTAATGGTCTCATTGTATGCAATCCCCTAAAAAAATTTCCTAACAAAGTTGTTGAGAAAAATGGGCAAATGTTTTGGGGCACCATGTTGCATAATTAGTCCCATGGGCAAAAATAACTCTTCCACGAATTTTTATGGCGACCAGAAATTTTTCAAAGATCACTTGATCCATCTTGGGATTCATTTAAAAAATAAAAAAGTAAAACCTTATTTTTCAAATAGAAAAGGCGGGCCTCAATCAATCGTGATCCTTTGAGCTGCAAATCAAATACTTCTTTAGACGTGTCACGCACATGAACAAACATGTGTGCACAATTAAATGCACAGCCTGGTCCTGTGGGACCTCAACTCACACTTCATGTACGCATTACCATCCATGGCTGGAAAATCATTTGAAACCACGGCTTGGTATTTTGGTCCTTGCTCGGACCCAATCGACAAGTTTGATTGTACTTTTAAAGAAAAAGTATATAATGAGACTGTTTATCTTTGGTATAAAGTGGTCACAATTAATCCTAACAATAGGATGTGAAAATGAATGGATGCATTTATTACACACCAAAGTTTTTGACTTGATGCTTATATGTACATGTGACCTCCTTGTATCAAGGGTAAACGATCTCATTGTATTCAATCCTTAGTTTTAAAGACCAAAGCTAAGACTAACTTTATTTCTACTCAATATTGAATCTTATTTACTCCTTGCAAGTTATGCTACATGATTTACATCCAAAACGTGTTTCATTACTATGGTTGGAAGATCCAATGAAAGCTCAATCTTAATTATGCTAAACTTTCATTAAATAATAAAAGGAAAGTACATTGTAGGCCCATGGCTTTACAAAGTGACACCTCAAATCTCGATAGGAATTGCAATCTTGATGCTAGACATCCTACAAATTTATCATCAACCTCATAATCATGAATCTTAAGAAAATTGATTTCAAGCTCTAAAAATAGTCAATCTTATCACACATTCTTTTTAACTGTCCATTTCAGGCGTTTGCAAATCTACTAGACTTGCATCAGTCTTAGAGCTTTAAGTTTGATAACATCTCAAAGAGTTTTTGTTGGAAAAATGTTTTGTGAAATTGGAGCAGAAAATGGTACGATTTCCAAAAAATGAGATCTTGAACTCTTCTTGTTTTCGAGCACGCATAAGTGCATCTCAAGACGATATTTGCCCCATTTCAATTGAGTATTTAATGTGCATAAGAAGGGCAATTCGTCATTGGGATACAGGGAAACAAAGAGGTCTTTACAATGTTCCTAAACTCTATGTACACGAGCATGGAACCCACACATGAACACCAGAGTCTTGATAGTTTAAAGAGAGAAAATCGAGTAGAGAGAGTGTTTAACCCATTGGTTTGCTTGCTGGAATTACAGAGAAAATGTGCATTGAGAGGCTCAAAAGTGTGCTGTAAAAACTAACTTGTATGGGTAGGAGGGCCCTTGTTATAGAGGGCCAAAAGGCTGCCCGCTTAGTGTTGTGGTGAGCGAGGGGCACCTGGGCGCCTCATGCACTGACGCAAACGTGTGAAGTGCGCTATCAAGCCGACGCCCACACCCTAGCATGTGTGCGCGCACGTCGCACGCTTTGCATGCCAGCACACGCACATTCTCTCTCATTTGTTCCTAGAGTGCATTGTATGGGAATGCATTCTCTTAAATATATCTCATGTTCAATATGGGACTCAAACCCACATATTCCTCTCTCTCTACAAAGGCATTTTAAGAAAGTATTTTTCAAACCAAAAATACTAACAATTTCCTTCACTATGTCAAAATAACAAAACAAAACGTAAGAAACATATTATTTGCATACTATGAAAGTATCTTTCAATTTGAACATTCACTTAGAGTGTACACTACAAAGTCCATCAAGTACCGTGATAGTATACAACTTTTAACCAGCTTGCTTATCTAACATACCGATAGCATAACTCACAAACAATATTCAACTCTGGTGGCTTTTTAACTACCAGCACGTTTTGGTCTTTATGTTTATATCCAGATTTCTAAGTGCTCTTGAAACGAGTCCATCTCATAAGAAGCGGCTTCACTTCCACACTTATATAGGTATGTCTATCAAGAGTGTCTCTGTACATAAAACACTTCGACTTATATAGTCAATAGACAACATTAAGAGCATAGTTCATCCTACTAATATACAAGCCATCACTAGACTTATCTACCATATGGATTTTCTTAAAATGGATGCTATTATATTTTGTCATCTAGTGCCAAACTAACTATACGTACATTTTATTTTTACTACATTGAACTTAGAGTTTTGAAGTTACAAAAGATTAAGTTAGACTCTCACTGGAGATGATTACTCAATGGACTCTAGCCCCATTCGTTTTGAAATATTACTAATGTCATCCCTTGAAAAGTCTTTAGTCAAAGAATTAGTCAAATTTTATTTTGATTCTACATATTCTACACTAATCACACCATCCCCAATTAATATTTTAATGGAGTTATGCGTTATCGCAATATGTATAGATTTTTTATTATATATGTCATTAAAAGCTCTCGAAATAAGAGCTTGATTATCACAATATATTATTATAGCAGTTATTGATTTTGGTCATATATGAATATCATATAACAAATTATTTAGCTGGCCTCTTTTGCTGTAGAGTCTAAATAAATAATTTTAGACTCCATAGTAAAGTGAGAAATATACGTTTGTTTATTTGACCATCATGATATCGCATCACCTGCTAATGTAAATATGTATCCAGATGTTGATAGTGAATCTTGGAATTCATTATTCCAATTAGCATTACTGAACCCTTCCAACACTCCAGGATAACCCACATATTTTATGTCATAATTGATAGTTTCTTTCAAGTATCTTAATACTTAAGATATACCATCTCAATGCTCTTTACTTAGGCAACTTGTATATCCACTAAGTTTACCAACTGCATATGCAATGTCAGGTCTCGTGCTAGTCACTGTATACATCAAACTACCAATTACCCTTGCATGTTCAAGTTGAGATATACATCTCCCATCATTTTTCTCTAATTAAATATGAGGATCTATAGGGGCAGATACTAACTTACTGTCAGTATGCCCAAATTTATTAAGCATTTTCTCAATGTAGTGAGATTGAGTCAAGATTAATACATTTTATTTTCTAACTATTTTGATACCAAGTATCACAACAGCCTCTCTTGAGTCCTTCATATCAAAGTTAGATGTGAGGAACTTTTTAGTTTTCTCTACAATTTTTAGATTAGAACCAAAGATAAATATATCATCTACATATAAACAAATTATGACACAAAGAATTTATTTTCTTACCACATACACATTTATCAGCCTCATTTCTCTTAAAACCATTTGACATCAACACATTGTCAAATTTGTTATGCCATTATTTAGGTGATTGTTTTAGTCCATAAAATGATTTAACCAATTTAGAAACTTTATTCTCATGACCTGACATTATCTAGTTGTTTCATATATATTTATTTATCTAAGTTACCATTTAATAAAGCAGTTTTTGTATCCATTTGATGTATGACAAGATCATTAGAATAGGCTATTGTTAAAAGCAATCTAATAGTAGCAATTCTTACTACTGGTGCATCTGTATCAAAATATTCAATGCCTTCTTTTTGTTTAAAACCTTTAGCAACTAATATTGTTTTATATTTATTTATAAAATCATCAGAATTTATTTTCTTTTAAAAATCCTTTTACAACCAATGGGTTAGAACTAGGTAGAATATCAACTAATTTCCAAGTTTTTCAGCTATTATGGAATCTATTTCATTATTTATAAATTTTCTTCAAAAAATTGCATCTTGAGATGCCAAAGCTTCATTTAGAGAAGTAGGATCTTCCTTCGTATTTGAGACTATAAGTAATGAATTTAAAGTTTTATTTTGATTAGCCTCAACAAGATAAATATAGAAGTTATGTCCAAAGTTGTAAGATGGATCACTTCTAATTCTCTTATTTCTTATTCGTTCTATTGTTTCATCATCATTATTTTCTACATGTTATTCATCAATATTATGATCATTTTCACGCTTATTTTTATTTTGCATGTTATTTGATTCATCCACTTCACTTTGACAAGTGATATTTTCAAAAAAATTCAGCATCTCTAGATTCCAAAATTATGTTAGAATTTAGATCTAAACATCTATAAGCTTTACTATTATGAGAATATCCCACAAAAACACATTTAGATGTTCTAGGACACAATTTATTTCTTTTAGGATCTCGAAATCTAACATATGCAAGACAACCCCATACTTTGAAAAAATTCAAACCAAAGCTCATAAGATGTCTTATCACTCTTTTTATATGAAATTCTATTCAATATAAAGCATACAGATAATAAAATTTCGCCCCACATATTCAATGGCAGCAAGGAAGAGGAAATAAGCATTGCATTTACCATTTCAACTAAAGTTTTATTTTTCCTTTTCACTAGTCCATTTTGTTGAGGGGTATAAAGAGCAGTTCCTTGATGAATAATATCATTATTTTCACAAAATTCACTAAAGCCATTTGATAAATATTCTCCTCCTTTGACACTTCTAATAATTATTATTTTATTACTAAGTTAATTTTCAACTTTCGCTTTGAAAAATTTTAAATTTTTCAAAAGCCTCATCTTTATATCCAAGTAAATAAACATAAGAAAATCTAAAAAACCATCAATAAAGGTTATACAGTATTTTTTTCCATCTCTTATTAGAACATTATTTAAATCATATACATCACTATGTATAAGTCCTAATAATTCACTATTTCTTTCAATTGAAGGAAATGGTTTTCAAGTTATTTTAGCCTGTACACATACTTCACATTTTTCTTTAGTTAATTCATCACAATTAGAAAGTAATCATAATTTAACCAAAGATTTAATGGAAGCATAATTAACATGTCCTAATCTACCATGTCATATATCACAAGAAGTAACAATATACACATAAAGCTTATTCATTTCATTAATAAAGTCAAATTTGAACATCCCATCACATGAGCATCCCTTGTAAACAAATACATCATTTTTTTTCAAGATGAGTTTGTCAAACCCAATGACCATTTTAAAGCCTCGTTCAAGTCTGGTATGTAGTACACATTTTATAAGGTGAGTACCTTGCCCGAACTAAGCTTTAGTTCCACCGTACCCTTTCCAAGCATATTTGTCATAGCTTGGGTTCCACGTTAAACATAATTACCATCAACCACTGGTTCAAAAGTATTAAACATGTCTCAATTGTTAGATACATGAACGGTAGCGTCGGTATCACACCATCCATTATCTTTATCGATCATATTTACTTTGGTGACTATTGTTACAAACTTTTATTCAATGGTCAACTTCACTTGGTCTCTAGGGCTCTTGAGCCCTTTCCAGTGTCGACACTCTCTTCAATAATGTCCCAGTTTTCCACATATATAACAAGTGACTCTCTTTTTTTGTTGGCAATAGACTTTTCGTCCTTGTAATTTTTATTATGGACCTTAGAAAAAACAAACTTCTTGTTATATAGAGCATATGATTTTTGCTCAACAATATTTGCCTTGGAGTGAAAATTAATTGATTCATCTTTCTTTTCCCTAAGTCTATTCTCTTCTTCAATTCAAATAGATCTTTGAAGTTGAACCAAATCAAGATCAACTTTATTGTGTTTCATCTTCTTTAGGTACTCTCTCCAATATGGGGGTAACACATGAATTATAGAGCCAACAAGAAAATATTCAAGAAAATACCACAATCTTTAAGTTCATTGACTACAAGCTATAACTCATATACTTGAGAGAGTATATGATTGTTTTCAATGAATTTAAAATCTAAAAAGTTAGAGATCGGAAATCTTTTATTACCAAACTCTTCCATGAGGTACTTGGTTTCAAGTAGTTTCCATAGCTCTCTTGTTGTGTCAATAGAGGCATACATGTCATAGATCAGGTCCACCAAAGGATGTGACCCTTGTATATATAATCATCCTCTATCCATCTCTTGTATGATTGAGTTTGCTCATTGGTGGAGTCATCCAATGGTGACGGCAGTCCAGGCATAGACTCAGTGCCTATGTAAGCCACTTTGAGAGTGGTAAGAAAAAAGATAACCTTTTACTGACATCTCTTGAAGTTAAGCCTTTGAAGCGTTCGAGTCGAGTAAAGTCGCGATTCATAATTTTCAAAAAAGTCATGTCAGTCTCCTTTATTTCGCCCATAAGATATCGTATTGAATTGTTGGAAAAAGGTTGGGTGAAATAGGGGCAGGAAACGGTATGATTTCCAAAAATGAGATATCGAACTCTTCTTGCATTCGAGCACGCAGGAGCGCTATCTCACGACGATATTTGCCCCCCTTCAATTGAGTATTTTATGCATAAGAAGGGCAATTCGTCATCAGTATATATGAAAACAAACAAGTCTTTTACAATGTTCCTAAGCTCTTACATGCACTTGAAGTGTTACATGCACCCCAACAGCTACAAGTTACATGCACTTGATGGTGATTGTTACAAGCTTCCATCTCATCAACGGTAGTGCACCATCCATGCCCACGTCCTCACATGTATGCATATGCGTCACACGCTTTCATGCTTCGCACATGCTCAATCTCTCTCCTTTGTTCTTAGGAATGTGTGCTTTTAAATATAACTCAACAAGCTCTCTTTCATCTTCAATATGGGACTCAAACCCATATCTATATCTCTCAACAGAGGCATTTTAGGAAAGTACAATAAAACAAAAGTGTTGTTTTGAATTACACTGAAGCATTTTTTAAACAAAAATTAGTAACGGTTTCAAGCCTAAGCACCACACAAATGTGGCTTTTTCAAATATAGTAAAGCTCCGGAACTACGAAAACCGCATACAATGATAATTGCCTCTCCAAATTGCATCAAAATAAGTAGATCCCAATTTTTTGTGGAAAGAAAATATGATTGTTGGGATCAGGAACTAATACTGGGGAATGAGGGGCACAAATTTTATTATAGATAGGATTGGGGCCTGTGTTTTGTAATTTGTATGCAACAGGTGGTGCACCATTCGAAGCCTTTGCATAATGTGTGATGCATAGTGATTTGCACATCAAATCCAATTCTCTGTGAGGGGCATGCTGATCGTGACACTGCAACCCCTCTATCTCTCTCGATCTCGATCTCGATCACTCTAGACATTCCCTACAGCATGGAAGATATCTATTCCCCCATCCAACAGTTCAATTAAGATCAAGTGAACCACTGACTATTTGATCTAGATCCGATACCTCAAAGTACTTAATTTTTAGGTGTTATTTTCTCAATGTGATGCACCTAAAAAAATATTAAATTTTCTAACCAAAATAGGGGTGGCGATATAAACTTTCCTTTAATTCCCTCAATGTTTAAAAAATGCCGATCAAAATCAATAACTAACTAGGCCAAAATTCCCTTATGGAATCGGGAATCGCCCAATCTTTCCTAATTTACTATATAAAGCTTTTGAAGAAGGGGTTTGTCGCTCTTTCAAGTGTAAATAGGATGCTACTGTAGGAGTATATACCTACTCCCTCATTTAAAAGATGTACTTGGGATAATTTTTTAAATTTGAAAATTTAGGAACTGCTTAAGAATATTTTTAAAAGAAAAAAAAACTGAATTTTGAGTTTTTTTAACACTTAGATCTCACCCTCAAAGAATTGGATTGTCTTTGTTCAACCTTTAGACATTACTTTTTTTAGTGTAATTTACACTCCCTCGGTGAAACCCTCCCAATACTTTGGAGATGTAGCCTCCTAGTGATATCCTCACCAAAAAAAAAAAAGGGAAAAAAGGGTGTCATATACATTTTACATGAGCTTGAAAAGAATACTATCCTAAAATTAGTCATGAAGTCTAATTTTTGGATGGTCTAATCTATGTGTTTAGGAGCTCAAAATTGAAATTCTTTTTTAGAAAACACTCATCTGGAAATTCTAATGCGGATCCAAAACTTACATTTTATATAAAAAAAATCATTTGAAGTAGCTCTTTTGCCCAAGGGAGTAAGCATATAGTATATGCTCATTGTCGTTCATGATTTAAAGCTGGGTACATCAAGATTAGGTTTACTTTCTTTGCAACTCCTATGCCTTGTTGTATATTCTAATTTCTAAAGGAAAATTGTTTCGTTCGGGCTGAATATGCGGTCCCAAGCATCCATCGATGCAAATAGGTGGTCCATCAAAAAACAATTAGAATTATTATTTCTAATTTTTAAAATTTATTTATTTTTTTCCAAATTCATGATGTCCATGTTAGAGATTACATGTCCTAAAAAATTTAAGTCAAAAAATCCATCTCAAAAATAATTTTCTAATAGGTGCCTCATTTCTACACTGACTCATAGAAACTATATCTATTTCTAAAACCCTTGTAGTTTTCTAAAATAGGGAATCGAGCTTTGCATCTCCCACACGATTGTCCGATAACAGTAAAATTGTCATTGTCAAAGTATTTTCCCAACTAATTAGGGTCAGTTGTCCGTAGTAGTAAAATATTGATTAAAAAAATAAATAAATCAAGAGATTCGGAGGGAGACATAGAGAGCTTTCCACCCAATCTGATCTCGATGGGTGATTCCTGTAAAATTTCAGTGTCTTGTTGACAGTAAAAAAATACATTACAAGATGCACTATTTTTAAAACTTGAAATTCATTTTTTTCTCATGTGTATGCATCTTGATGTCGAGATGATCAATTTGACGATATTTGGGCATCAAAACAGCCTCTTCTAGTGGTATTTTTTATGTGTGCTCTAATTTGATTGTTTAAAGCCTCGTCTCTATATAATTTTTTTTTTAAATAAAATATAATTATATATTATGCGTTATAATTTTTAAAGATGTATATATTTTTGGATCAGGTCCAATAGGGTCTGGGGTCTCATACTTTTTTTCAAGTCGCATACCCAACCCGACCCATTGCCTCAACTTACCAATCTACACTTGGGAACCCACCAACCGGTGGGCCTACTGTCACACCAAATACTCAACAAGAAGGCACTTTAAAAGCGATGCAGGATATGCTCATAAGAATGGGTATGCATGATATTCTACCCCCAAAGTCCTATGTTCAAGAGACCCTTGGAAGACCTTCCTCCTGGGTTTGTCATCTCAGAGTTTAAAAACAAATTCAATGGGAAGAGTGACCCAGATATTCACATCAACGCATACCTCCTCTCCGTCCGAGCCTTGCGAGACAAGCCTAGCCAGTTGAAGGCCCTGTTTTTACAAGCTTTGACCAGCAAGGATTTAAACTGGCGTCAGAGAATAATGACCACTCAACCACACATAACTCCAGATGAAATGTTCAACCAGTCCGTCTCTCATTAAGGTGGGTCGACACCAAGATCTCTTTCCCTGGGCGAACTCAGTGCAACCAAACAAAACTCAGGAGAATCCTTCGAGGATTTTATCGGTTGATTCCACGAGGAGGCAATGCGGGTCGTCGAATGTCCACTTACGGACCCAGCTAAAATCTCGATGGCCTTAGAAAATGTAGCCCCTGAATACAAGAGCTTCTTTATTCAGGGACTCATCCCCCACTCTTTCGACTCCATGATCGAGCGGGTGGCACGACATGAAAGGCCAAGAGGGACACCCCTCAATACTAGGCCCGATAACAAACCCATTACGACTTCCCAGAATAAAAATAAGAGCAACGGCAAGGGGAAAGCTTCCAGTCAGGTTAACGAAATTGTCGTTAACGGACCGGCCCAGGGTTCAACCACCCAGCACAATAATAAGAATCAAAATCGAATGGGTCAGCCTAGAGTTAACGCTCAAAATAACAATCGAAGGCGAGATGACAACTTCACTCCTCTCAAAGACCCGTTAGAAAAAGTGCTGGAGTTTCTCTTGAAGAAAAACATGGTTCAACTCCCGCCACCATATGAACCACCATTTGAGGTTAAGGATGAGGTTAAGGATAAGAACATATGGTGCAAGTGGCATAGAAACCATGCCCATGATACCCAAAACTGTTTCTACTTGAAGCGGGTGATTCAAGGGTTGATTAATTGGGACGACATCACTGTCAGACCTAGAAATCAACCTGTTGAAGAACCTAATAAAAAAATGGGTATCTTCACAAACCCTCTCCCCAAGTATATGGCCATTGTTGTAGAAATTGGAATGGATAATATATTGGCATTTGGTGACTTCAATTTGATTCTAAAATTCAGCCAAATAGCCAACAATTTTTGTTTCACCAAAACAGTTTAATTAAAAAGTGATAAAAATTCAAGAAGAAATGGGAAAGAAATGGGAAAGAAAGGAAAAGCATGGGCAAGGATGGACACTTATTGGGAATCCTTTTGTCGCACTGATGATTATCAATTGAACAAAATATAAAAGCAAATAAGATACATCTCAGATTTAACAAATAAAAGAATATCAATCAATAAAGAACAATTAATTGAATGAACTCACAGAAAGGATGTCAAATCCTTTTCGAGGCCTGCTCACTGATTCGAGGAAGGTTGTATAGTATTAAACCCAACACAAGAACAATGGTCCCAACAACAAAGCTTGAGGTCAACCTTGCAGCTTGAGGAATGCAAGGCAGGGGAAATGAAAGAATGTAGATTGAGAGTGGCACTGCAATGAAGAGAGTATAGCAAACCCATTAACCCAACAAGGAAACAAGAAATAATCTGCATAATAGCTAGTACTAGTTCATGCTTTAGTCTGATTAATATACTAAGTATTACCTGATAATGTTACAGTAAGTGATGCAACCACTGCAGAAGAATTCTTGACGAGATTAAGCACAGAGGTATTGAATGCCATGTTTGCTGCTATGTATAATAAGGGCAATAAGGGAGCTCCTTCACAACCTGATAGAATTTTCCCTAATCACATTTATGTGAATTTCAACGAAAGCTAAAAAACCAATAGTAAGCAGAAATAAATAAAAATAAATAAATATACAGTACTAAGGAGAGGAGCAATAATTCAGTTAACAGTATATCTCCTCTCCTTGAAGGGATCCTACAGGAACGTAAACGGAGATCCCATTTTATAGAAAGTGAGATCCCTATTTCTCTAAACTCAGCTCCTCTAACATCCCCTAGAGGAACTGCGGGATAAAGTTCCTAAGGTGGGACCATGGCCTTATCCCCAAGGTTCCCGCAACTATGATCTGGACCATCCATTTTCAAGATTTGTAAATGCTTATAGATTTGCTCAAACGGCACCATTTTTTGAGCTTTGAATTTCAGAATTAGGGGTGGTAACAGATTTTCAGGCCATCATAAGGGTTTTTTATACCAAAATTGCACCTCCTAGTAGAGTTTGGAGGTGCGCCTTACTTTTACCGTTGGTGGGCACCTTATGTAAACCACACCCTTTAAATAAATGTCTTTGTTGTATCCTTCTTGACTGAAACAAGTTAATGTCCTACACTTTGATTCCACCTTTTATAGATCTTCAATAGATTGTCAACATATCAACATGGCTCAGAATTTTGGAAATAAATTGGATTAGGTCCAGTAGAACCAAAATTCAGTTTTTGAGTGAAAAACTATGGGTAAATAAGAGCAATTTGATAATGATAATTCAAATACCTCGAATATTAGACAAGATTAGATTTCAATTTTGTAAATCAATCTTTAAATAAACATTAAGAAAACAGTGAAACATACTAAATTCTTTTGATTACAGTCAACTAAGGGCTGCCCACATTTCTGTTTAGAAAGAGCAGAAAAACTCAATTTTCGCTAAAATTTCACAAAGAGTTAAGATTGACTAACATCATGATGCTCCTCACTTTACACAAGTTCAGTTCAGCCACAAGAAAAGCAGAGTCTTATAAAGAGATGAAACCTCCGCTTTGCAATTCCTACCCCAATGTAGCAAATAAATTTGCTCTTTTTCGTATCTTTCTTTATGCAATGTCCATAGAGACATGAAAATTTACTCTTAAAAGAAAAAGGGACTAGTTTTAAGAATGAAATAAAGAATTATGCCAAGACAATTACCATTATAATATACATCTTGGAAATTTCACTGAATAGCTCGAGCTAATTCCTAAGAGAATATCAAAAGCAGAAGGCATGCTGCATATCAATAAGAAACCAGAGCTATTTGCCACATTTATACTTCACAACAAATCAAAAACAATGAAAGGAAAGGAGAACAATTGGAGCAGTACAGTGTTCGCAAAATCGAATCGAAACGGTTAACCGGACATGGTCCTGGAAGCAGTTTAACCAGCTTAACCGGTAAACCGGCTGATTCAACTGCTCTAATCGGGTAAGTTCCAAGCGGTCAAAAAAGTGTTTAAAAAAATAAAAAATATATATAAAAAAATCTGCTAAAATATGAAAAGCAAATAAAGAATGATCAAAACAAAACAAATTCAAATGAAGTTGAAAATTAATAAAAAAAATGGATTTTAACAAATCGATTTGTGCCTAGGGGTATTTTTAAAATTTTATGAAAAAGATGGAAAAATATAAAAGTGAGTATTTATGACCAAAATAATTTTAATCTTTACCATAATGTAAAGAATATTAAAAAATATATTACAAATCAAATTCTTTGTTTTTGGGAATTTATATACATTTGTTTTGATTTTTTTTTAAATACCGGTTGATCACCAAACAGTCCAAAACCGGAACCGGCCAGTTCCGATTTAACCGGGCGGTTAACGGTTAGATAGCCCAGTTTTGCAAACACTGGAACAGTAAGAGAAGCATGTGTACAAAGAGAAAGAAACTACAAAGATAAAAAGTACATAGAAAATCAATTCTAGATCGGAAAAGCTCACCTGATATTCGAGACCCCACATTTATAAAACAAGCCACACCACTCCTCAGGTAGGTAGGCAACTCAAGAAATGAAATTCCTTTGAAGCTTGAGAAGAAAGGAAGGAGCAGAAATGCAAAAAGAGCCTACATAAGCACCAAAAAAAAATGAATACAATTTTGGGCACTCTAAAATAAAATAACCAACATAAAAGGTTCATTTTCAATGAAAAACATAAGAAATTTATCTTCCAAATATATTTGCAAGTACTATTATCACTTCAGAAAATTTACAGGAATGAAATTTAAGCAATGCGGTTTTCAATTAAGTGTCACAATGCATTTATTTTTACCATTAACAGCATTACTATGTTTGTATAAAATAATTTTAAAAAAATTCAGTAGTGTTTTTTATAAATAATTTTCAACAGTACAGATTAGTCACCTGGAATCCAGAACTGAAAGAGTTGACAACAAAGAGGTCCAGAGACTTTCCCTGAAAACATGGATCAATAAAGCACTTGTTCTATTTAAACTTATAAATTTTAAAGACTATGAGATGGTTAAGTGTAAACATCTACCATGGCTGTGGTATATGTTATAGAGCTACATCCATTATTTATTATACTAATGGAAGTTTGGAGATAACTTAATTGGAGCAACAAGGATATTCAACCCAGTAAAATTAATGTCCGACCATCTATTAATGAGAACAAATAGTGGATGCAGCCTTAGCGCACCATACACTTGTAATCTATTGGATTACAATATACTTTACTATTACAGATTGCATAGACATGTGAACATCACACATTCATACCTTTAAACGTCTGGCAGAATCAATGAAAACATACTCCTGACAAACACATGCCAGTATGACAAGGTCAGGGTTGTCTGAGTCTCTGATAGATATTAGAAAAACAGTACAGAACCTTTCACTATTAATTATTTTCTTTGAAAACTAAAAAAAAAATGAATATTCGAGGTCGAGACCTTGAGAATTGATGCACCAGAATGACATGCAGCTGAAACCATCATTACGCATGGCCATATAAACTCCACCTTATGAAGCAATTGACCCTCATTCTGCCCGCTGAAATCAAGGTTGGCACTCAAAATCATGTAAAAGGTATAATGCTCAAATTCATAAAATTTGGCCTTCTACAAGTAATCATCTTGATCTCAAATGATCAAAAACAAAATCCTCATGATCGGATTTGAGACACATGAGAGGGTTATACAATTGGAATTTAATTATCTAGTCAGGCTCAAAGCAATTCTACTTTTAAAAGAGCTACAGAAGGATATCTGACAAGAAAAAGAACGTAACATAGAAGAGAATTAAGGTATAGGATATCTCAGACATGGAAATTGAGACATACACACATGTAAAAATGGCTAAATATTAATATCTAAAATGGATGCATATACATTTTACACCATCTCTTTCTTTTTTTATTGTTAGCTGGATGTAGGCCATCCACATAGTAGATCTTCAATTCCAGGATTTAGAAGATTCTGGGCTTTATTAAAAAGTTCCAATGGAGATAATATGCAACTGACCAAGATAACAAGCATAGCACAGAAGTTTCGAAGGAACTAATTGGAGATTCAGTTTTTAACCCACTGTCTGTGATAAAGAACCCACAACAAACTGCTAGCAATGTTTCGTTGCATGCTGCAAGTGACCTTTGAAGAAACATACACAAGTAGTATGAAAACCAACTTCCAGTGCATGTGCACATGGGAATAGAATCCAGCTTGTGTAGCAAATGGTTGTGCTATGCTATTATTGGGAAGGAATAATGCTTTCCCAGGATATATCATAATTTTGGAACTTTTTTTTTTTTTTCAATAGTATTTCTATTTGGAGAAAGATTAGAGGACAAGCGACTAACCTAAGCAAATGAAGTATGTCTTACACAGCCCAGGTTCCTTAATTCACAGATGCCAGTTCTAGCAAACACAAAATCAAGCAATGGTTCTTCGACCCTACTGAAAGATATGGAAGTTCAAGCAAATAGGAACAAGAACCGTTTAGGTGCTCAATGCCATTCTTTTAAACAATCAATTCATCGCGATAAGAAATAGCTTTTACAGAAGATAAAAATGCAAAGTATAATCAAAGGGACATGGGCAGCACTTAGATGAGAAATGGTCCAAATGCGATACCTTGTGACAGCCACAGCCACACCAGCAGCTACAAGTATGCAACCAATAATTTGCTTGGGACTGTATTTCCTTCCTAGAATCAAGGTGGAGAAGAAAAGCTGCCAAACCAAAAATGTCTGAAAGGAAAATATAAAATGCCTAGTTAGAAGTACTGATCAAATAATAAAAGCCTTGTTAGAAGTACTAATAAAAGAAAGCCTCCATAGGTAGAGATGCTGCAACGTTCAGTACGCTTCAAATATGTCCCTTGATAAACCAAGATTGCATTATTGACTTTGATTGGAAATAAGGAAATTTAGGGAAACATTTAAATGCAATATGTGCATAAAGTACGACCACAGGTAACTACTCATATATACAAATCACTTTACCTGAGATAAAACAGGTATAGCAGGTCCTGGAAGCATGGCTGTCACACAGAAAACATATTAAATTGGTGCATAATAGAGATAAAAGAAGTCCTAATTCAGTTTTTCTTAATTAAGTTTGCATGCACAAGATGGTCCAAATGACAATCAAGTCAAAGTCGGAAGTGGAATGAAGGAAGTCAAATCCAAATTGAAATAGAAAAGTTCAAAGGCACAGCTTTAAACTCGGAATCAGCCAAGTTGACTCAGAACTGGCTGCGTTACTCGGTCTCGGCACCTTGCCAAGCCTAGTCCTGGTACAAACTCAAGCATATAAAAAAGATCATAAAAACTCACGAAGGTTATATATTTTTATTAAATCAATGTATACATATGTTTCATATATAATTTTGATGTTTTTTATGATGATTTGTGAGTTTTTCTTACCCTCCTCATCATCATCATCAAAGCTTTGTCCCAACAATTTGGGGTTTGCTACATGAATTTTGTCCTCCAATTGGATCAGAATTCATGATAGAGATGTGGCAAAGTTTCACGTTGGCAGCCCATCAACACAACCCTGCTCCTTTCGCACCAGGGCTTGGGAAAGGAGGTTTGTGAAATTGCTAGTTCTTTGCAATGGTTGGTCGATCTTCGATCAAATTTGCTTCCTAAGGCTGTTTTCGGGTTCTTCATCTTTCTCACAAGAAATTTTAAATTTGTGAGATTTAAATTTCGGACTACCGTTCATCCTACTTTTTCAAGAGCTTGGGTTACCTATATCCAAAGTTGAAACCCAAATTTGGTTTGGGGGTCCCAATTAGGGTTTTTGAGGAAGCTTTGACATAGATTGTAGGCATCAATTTGCAATGAGTGCACATATTGGGGGATTGGCCTTGAAATTTTGGGTAAAATTTACTTTTTTTTCGAATTTAAATTCATTGAATCAAATTATAGTTGATTCACAATTAACTTTTGCATGACTTTTATTTTTTATAATTTATCTGGTTTTCTATTTTTTTGTTGTTTTACCATTTTTTTGGATTTTGGAGGTTTCTTTCAAGCCAACAATATCATTGTTCTCATGTTCCATGTTTTTCATATACTTTTTATTTTTTATTGTATTTTTAGACATTTCACAAAATTTTATTCTATTTCTTGGTTCTTTAGCTAATTCGGCAACTTGGAGCCAACTCCAGCGAGTCAACTCTGATTCACTTGAGTCACTAGGACCACCCAGGGATCGAGTTTTGTGGTTGAGCAACTTTTGCAAACACGGATTTAGATGATCAAGTAGACGGGACAACAATGCATTGCAAATTTTGCACAGCATGCAAAAGCATGTTTAGCTGTGGCTCAAAAGGCAAGGGATAGACCCAAAGGAACCTGGTTGGAAGTAGTGAGAAAAGATATGGGGACTTATGGTTTCGCTGAGGGTATGGCCTCGATAGTGCATAATGACGGACCATGATTCGTATAGCTGACCCTAAATAGTTGGGAAAAAGTTATGATGATGATGATGATGATGATGCAAAAGCAAGTTTAGCTCTAGGATGCGACTCAATACTGTACTCCAAACTTCTGTCTGCATGTGAAATTTCTTGAAATACTATGAAGACTTGCCTCTAATTCTCAAGGATATAGGGAACTAGGAATTCAAACAAGTCTTTTCTCAATCTTCTACTAGTGCTATGCTCCTTGAGATTGGCTCACAATTTGAAAATCAGCTTGGGCAAAATGCCCCGGAGCAACTTTATGTTCTTATGAAACTTTTTGTCCCATTATTTAGTTATTTACCTATTCTTTTTAGACGGTCTATTAAGAGTGAGGACCTTAAACTTTCCCTTAACCCCCCACAAGCCCAGGTAGAGGAGGTGGGTGGCATTAGGTAGGCAACCAATGTAAAACTTTGCCACTTCTTATCATAAGTCCTGAACCGACGTTTTTGGTCTTACTAAAGGTATGGCCTCTAAAAAAGAAGAATGGAGGAACAAAATTCATGTACCGACCCCAAATAATCGGGATAAGTCTTGGATGATGATGATGATGATACTCTATTTTTCTATTCTCCCGTTTTTTTAGAATATTTTATTGTTTCCAGCTATAAAACATTTTTTTTCAAATTCTATCCTTTATTTAATTTTTTTCACCTTTTTTAGAATTTGAATGTTGTTTATAACTCTCTTCACTATTTAAAAACTTCTAAAATATTTTTTGTATTACTTTAAAAAAAAGTAGTGCTCTTGGAGTTGTACATGACTAGGGTGAGTTGACTCGGACTCGGACGAGTTACTCAGCTTGGGCAGAGGCCAAGTCCCGGAGCTATTGCATACTGTACTCGAGAAAAACAAATTTCCAAGGGGGTGAAATAATCCAATATTGAATATCAATATGTTTTGATTTACTCTAACCACGTTCCAATCTAATTATCTAACTCAAGCGAATAGCTTCCTATGCCATGGATATTAAACAGAATTTGCTGGAGATACCTCCTGCAGCCATCCCAAGAGCAAGTCCAAGAGAATCCAGTAGACCAATAGCCATAAAATTGGATTTTGGTAACAATAGCATATCTTTTGTTACAACTCCAGCATGATAGCGAATGCATAGAATAGAAAAATAGATCACCACATACCTAGTACAATCAACAAGAAGAAAATCTAAATCAGAACAAGATACAATATACAAGAAGATCATAAGAAGATATCCACAAGGGAAAAGCTTCTATAAACGGAGAATGATACCCTAGAACTGGCCAGAGAAAATATGTCATAAACCCAAATACCAGAATATGACATGGAATCACTAAATATATCAAAACTCTGTAGGCAAAGGTGCAAAGAGTTAAGCTTACATAGCATTTTATTATTGCATTTTCACCATGTATATTAGATTTATATCATAATTATGTGTCGTTATCTATCTTCAGTTTTTGTGATATACAATTATATCTCTTTTATTGTCCTGCATTTACAGTATCAAATATTTTTGGGTTAACAAGTCACATCTCTGGTACATGCCAGACACTGTTAACTGTGTTCATAACATTATCATTTGGAAGAGTCCAAGCCTGTAGCTACATAGGCCCTACTCATAACCTTCTCCTCCTTTTCCCATTTAGAAAAAAAAAAACCCATATTTTGAGATTCAGCTGTTTGGATTTCTCAACTGGTTTTCAGCCTTCTGCAATAGAATCGCCCTCATCTTATTCCACAACAAAGTTTGTCCCAAGACGTCTCCTGAATAGACACACCACACATCCAAACAGCCCTCCAATTTATGCAGCTCTACATACTACAGGCTCACCAACCTCCAAGGAATTAATAATCTGGTAAATTTGGAGGCAATGGTCTGTTTAAGGCTTTAAACTCATGATCATTTCTAGTATTCTCTATCAATAATGACATGATAGAATGTAAACCCGAATGACTTCATAAAGCTTAGCAAGGTAAAACCGACACCAAGATCAAGACTTGCACACACATGAATCACAGTTTAGTCCCTTGCTCTAAGAAAACAGCATATGCTGAACAGTAAAGCAACACCTTTAGATAAACTGATAGATTCAACAAAGATTCCTGTCTAACTCTAAGGTTTTGCTAAAATTACAGAAGCAGTTCATTCTGCTGCACAGCAAAATGAGAATCGAAGTGCACTCACCAATACAGAACAGGGGCCTAATGACTACAAAGTAAAAAGTTCTAATGACTTCTAAAGCCCAGAGCTTAATGCACTTCACCTAGTTTGACTATACAGACTACCCACTAGTAACGCATAGCAAGGAACACCTATAAATGGAACATTCAAAAAAATAAACACTAATCAATCATAAACTATAGATGTTAACTGAAATGCCCCTGAAACTAGGTTAGCATGGAGAATTTGGATGAACTGCCACAAGATTCAAAATTTGCACAACACCCCAATTATAACAAAACCAGTCACTCTGGGCATGGCATTATTCATGTATAATGAATGAAGAGAGAGAATTAAGAAGAATATCGGTAAAAGGAAAAACAATCTCCAGCCCATCAGATGTGGACGACTCAGGGCAGTGTAAATGGTTAGTACACAAACCAACATAACTCCACAACAGTGAAATAGATAGAGAGAGAGAGAGAGCGAGAGAAGGAGGAGCCAGAAGACGGAAAAATACAGACCCAATCCTCAACAGTTAAATATAGAGAGAGCAAGCGAGAGAGAGAGAGAGAATAAGGAAAATACAGAGCCCAACACAGTAAATTTTGATCAGTAGTTTGAATTGAACCATGAAATTCTTCAATTGAGAGCAACCATATAAGCCCAACACTAGTATTAGAGAAGGACTGTGATTTCTGTAGAGAGAAATTGAGAAAGAGAGAGAGAGAGAGAGAGAGAGAGAGAGAGAGAGACGAACGAACGAGTGTACGACGAGAGAACGGAAGGAAGGTAACGGTTACTTACGTTAGAGGTAACGGAACGGTAACGGGTACGGTTAGT